GCATTTCCGTTCCCATAGCATAGCGCTAGAATGGGACATGATGCCAGAGGAGGGTGGTGACTACAAACAGGTTCTCATGGTCTTCAACACCGCTGCAGAACCTTTGCAGCAACCTAATGAGCGTGCTCACGCTTTTATTACGCAGCTGAGCAGAGGAGACTGCTCATTAGCCATCGATCCCGCCCGCGTAGTAGACTGCGGCACCTATCAGGTCCACCTCCTTTTCCAGAGCCAGAAATTTAGCCCATTTAAAACGGTGAAAGTCCATGTCAGGGACTGTCATCACAAGTCAGGAGCGCCTGACCCTCTTTGTGGTGAAATGGACAACACCTCCAAATATATCATTGCTGGTGGAGCGGCTGGAGGTGTCGTTGTAGCATCTGTCCTTGTATTTATGGGGTAAGTTCATTTGGCAATCTTTACAATCTTGCCTATCGGATAAAAGCATTCGTTTTTAACTTGTGTCAAATACAACCCGAATGTTTAAAAGCATGAATATAGATAATGATGTTGTAATAGACCTTACATTAAATTTATAGGATCATCTTGTCTTGAATTGTATTGTAATTGTAATATCTTCCTAATATTGTAAAGCGCAGCGCAAACTGTTGGCGCTATATAAATCCTGTATAATAATAATAATAACTTTTTTTATCTATGTCTTTATCTCAATAGAGCTCTGGTCTTCCGCCATAAGAATAAAACACAATATGAATCAGGAGACATAGAAGAAGGACAAGACAGTGAAAGCCCAATAAAGGCTTACAACATAGCACAAAAGATTATGCTTCAAGGTGAGACACAAGGAGGTAAAGTGTCACTATCATCTGACACACAACCATTGAGTGAGCAACTCCTTGAAAACTTGTTCAGCTTTCCACCGCCTGATCCATTTGCTAATTACTGCACAGTGGTCTATCCACTGCCTGGCTATTCAAGAACCAACCAACACCCGTCTTTATAGAAAATACAAGGACTCAATATATATATAAAAACAGAAATTAAATTAAAAATTCAAACCAAGGTCGGCTCCCTCTAAGTATATACATTTTTAGAAATAAGTCAATAGCATTTTTTCATATTGTAATTTGACCGGGACCCCCTGAAGGTGCAAGGATCTTGACAGGGGTAGAGCACTCTAGTCCACCTAGCCAAAGTCAGACGGACTTCTCTCCTCATGGTTAGCCAAAGTCAACCAACGAGTACTGGGTTGGGGGCTCTCCCAAAGGTAGAGCAAGGGACCTGATGGCCACCCATCTTCCCCTTAGACTTAGGGTAGTCTTGAAGACCCACAGCCCAAGAAGAGTGGTGCAGAAAAAAGCAAGAGGTGTTGTGGCCTAGTACTCTTTTACACAGGGGTGTCCCAAATACATAGTTCTGCTAAGGCACCCCAGAGTGCCACTCCTGGGAGGTGCTGGATACCGGGGGCTCTCAGCCTTCCAAGCCCATGACCAGACCAGGTAGGTGCGCTGCGTGGCATGTAATACTTTTTTCAACCGCAACGCACGGTATTATGGTAGCACGCGTTGCTGCACAGTTGCTCGCATTGTGGCTGGGAGATGCGTGTGGGTGCTATTCAAATGAGTGGCAACACAATGCACCTGCTGCACTGTAACACGCAGTAGGTTCAGCCCTCCACAACAGTCCCAGTTTCTCATGTTGAAAAAATGAATTGCCCACCCCTGGTTAGAACTGATATCAAACAAGCGATTTTGCCACTGGCGACAGCTCACCCATCTGACTTGTCCCTAACTGTTAGGCCCCATTCACATGTAGCGACATACCTTTGCAGCGGCCGGGATAGCGCGACTTTCGGGGCGATGTTCCAGTGACGATCCAGCGACGGTAGCGCGACCTTCTCCGTTGGGCTCCATAGAAAAAAGCAAAATCGCACAAAATCCGCTGAAAAAAGGGTCCTGTAGAAGCGACTTGCGACCGCGACGAGCGACGCGCAACATGGAGCTAAGACAGCTCCTTTGACTATCATTAGCCGGCGACTTCTCGCGATATCACGCGGCAAAAATGCGCGATATCGCGGCGGTGTTTGGGTAGGGTTAAATATCTGTATATATTTTAGGATCACGATAAATGGGTATGCTGGTTTCTATAGCCTTCAACCTGACCCAAAGCTTCATTTTTTGTGCAGCTTTGACCAACCAATCAAAACTGTAGTGGAAACCAATTCAATACCCTACAGAGCCAGTGGAAGGGGATCACTTCTACACAATCTCTGTGGTTTGGATGTTCAAACCTGGGACAAACTGTAGAATTGCATACAGGTTTCTGGACATTTACTAAGACCCCATTCACACTGAGCTGCCACAAAATAAGCGCTTTTTCATTGCTGATTTGAACAGAGCGGCTCTGAGCAACATTGAGCTACATTGAGCTTCTTTGAGCTACAGTGCACATTTGATGCGCTACGTAGCGATTCTTTTGGCATTTTACCACAGGGACTTTGTAGCTGCTACATTGGGCTGTATCCAATCAAAAGCGTTTTTTGATGTGACATAATTCCTCTTCCTGTTTCCTGCTTCTGTGGAGAGTATAATTTTTTGGGCAGAAATGACACTTGTGTAGGGCGACATCGCGCTAAAATGTTGCACAAAAACGCAGGTAAAAAGCGACATTGAGCTATACCATTGAAGTCTATCGGGGCCAAGAAGCGCGAAATCCACCAACAAATAGCTCATGTTCGAGCGACAGGCGACACTGAGCTACAAGATGTGAACATTTCTATTGAAATGCATTGGAAGAGCTACATTGAGCTTCGTATTTGAGCGATTTTTTAGCGGAAAACGCTCAGTGTGAATGGGGTCCTAAGACAGAGCTAAAGCTAGGACGTCAATCTTACAGCCAAGCATCTAGCATGTTCACACTGAAAAGTCAGTAATGGCAGCCCCCATATTACCAGGTCCGTTCTCAGGTAGTGATTCATGTCATTTAAAATCTGGTCTTGCTTGAGTGTCCTTTAGTGAGAATTATATACACACAACTGTAAATTAAATTTGTACAAATCAATATTATTTTAGGTTCTTATGCCCATTCAAAGCTGTGTAGATATATATGTGTAGTGGAACCAACATACCAGCATTAATTATGTTCACAATCATTTTTATTGTCCTTTAGTATTTTGTTATAGTAGGTGAATCTTGCAGGTTTTAGGTAAAAATTTAATTTATTTAGTGAAAAATGCAAGTAATATACATTAAAGCTGAACTTCAGGCATATGTAAAAGACACAAATAAATGCAACTCTGTATTCATTAACACATCCTCAAATGTGATTTTTTTAAATACAAGCAGTGTCAGTACCTGAACTTGACTTGGTATCCACCTGTCGAGGTCCCTTGTACAGCAGAGCTCATATGTGGGGAAAGAAGAAGCAGCACAAGGAGATAATCAGCCATGCTGCAGTACAGTGAGCGTGCTGAAAAGTAGGAGAGAGCAGAGTGATACTGTGACTGGACAATGAATGGAGAAGCAGCACACTGAGCTCATGCACAGTGTGCTGCTTCTCCTTTTTTTTGTCAGGTCACACTGTGAGGGAGGAATAAGACCTGTAAATGTTCCCTAATAAAGTCTCCTGCGCTGCCAGAGAGGGCTGTGCTGTATGGCAGAGCTGTGTAAATCTCAGGACAGGAAAGAATACATGTATGTATGTTATGTATGTGTTTAGCAGTTTGCCTGGAGTTCAAACAGTTAAATAAATGATAATGCAATGTTTATATATTTTTGGACAATAACTACTATATGTGTTACTAAAAAAAATAAAATAATTCCTGATCCTAAATAGTGCACGCCATAAATAGAGGCAGCCCTACCTAAGCTTATCATATATCCGGCCTCCCAGGATCAACAGTAACTAGTGATATTGTATTCACAAAAGGCCTAATAAAATGAGTTATCTACCTCACTGGACATCCCGCAAAAATGGCGGCCGCTCTATATTCCTGGATAACAACCACTATATGTACTAAAAATACACTTCCTAATCCTAAATAGTTCCTGTCATACATGGCAGCCATAATAAAGCTTATTATATATGTGACCTGCCAGAGGTGTCACTAGCCTTTTTGCTACCTGAGGCAGGTGGGGGGGTTGCTGGTGGTGCACGGTCCTGGTGATGTCACTGGTCACCAGGAGCTATGCGGGATGCCTTAGGTTGCGAAGAGCGAATCGGGGAGGTTGCGTCTCAGGAGGCTAAGAGCTGGGCGGAGAGATGTGTATTGTCCTTACACATCTCCTTGCCTGGCTCTTAGCAAACTTGGACACTCTGGCCAGAAAGGGGGTGGCAGGCACACTGCAAACATTGTGCTGCCTACCCCCCCCCCCCTTCCCCCCAAGAGATGCCACCTGAGGCAACAGCCTCAGCCTGCCTCATTCTAGGGATGGCCCTGCGACCTACTATATTCAATAGTAACTAGTAATACCTTATGTACAAAAGGTCTAGTGAAATTATCTACATTACTGGACCAGACCACAAATAGGCTGCCTCCCTTGGGTGACAGGTATAATCAAATGTTATTGTTTAACAAAACTGAAGATCGTTGGCGGTGCAGTGTGTGTCAAATCCCCTTTACTGTTATAGCACCAGTTACTTAAACCACTTTTGTTGAACTCCCATGCCATGGAATACCAGTGCTTTACCGCTAAGCATTTTAAGTTTTGGGTAGAGATCTCCTTTGCAATAAGAGAACATGGCTTTATAAGATTAGCAACAGGTTTGGTGCTTGAAAACAATGGCGCTTGAAAACTTTAATTAGTGTCTTTTATGGTCTCTCCATAGATTTCTGGACATCTGACAACCCTGAGAAGAGGGCTTATTTGGTAACACAGTGCAAAGCACAGTGGTGTCCAGTCAAACATCACGTCCAGGATTGAGCAATTTACATTCCTGATTGTTTCCCCGGAGTAACTGATCACCACTGGCTTTGCCTTGTATTGTTAAATAAGCCCGAATAAAGTTCCTTCATTAATTCTCCATTTTTGGGTTGGTGTTCACAACTCATCTTTGGGATGTGAAGGCTCTGGCAGCTGTGGCTGTTCTACTGCTTGCTCCAGTCCGTACTGCTTTCGTAAGCTTTTTCGTAGTTTTGACTTCCTCTCTTTCTCCTGCCTCTCCAGTTCATCCAGCCTTTTAAAATCTTCCTCAAGCTTCTTCCATCTTTGCTTCTTTTCATCCTTGGCATCCCTCTCTTCATCTTGTATTGTCTTCATCTTCAGCTCTGGCTCCTGTAAAGAGGTTGAAGGTACAGAAGGAGATATGCAGTCAGATAGACATAGTACCAACAACCTCCATTTAATAGTCTTACCTCCTCTTTCCTCTTACAGAAGTTGTGCAGGGTGTTTAGACATACCTGTGCAGTCAAATAGACACCAAAGGTAGACCTACTGCGCTTAGTAGGTTAGGGCTCATTCATGCCACAACGATGTCTGGTGTTTTTCAGCAACTGAAGAACGGCAGTCACCACTAGTACACATAGAAAACAATTGCTTTTTATGTGCCCCGTTCACACAGGTGTGATCTGCTTTGCAAAAATGTCTGCACTGGACTGAACCGCAGGTCACCACCAGGGCTGGATTTCCCATAAGGCCAACCGAGGCCCGGCCTTGGGGCAGTAGGTAGTAGAGGGGCAGCAGGGGTGTGGAATTCCTATCTCCTGATGGCCGGGTCATGCAGTTGCGGGCACCGGGCGGGTAGTTGTTTTCTACATTTAGCCCTGCTTTGGGCAAGCAGGGCTAAATGTACAGCGGGGAAGCCACTGCTTGTTTTGTACAAGTGATCTCGGCAATGTATGCAGCCTACATACAGGGGGGTGCATTGAGGAACCTGGCATTGGGGGCAGCAGAGAGAGTAAATCTGGCCTTGGTCACCACACTGCAGTACCTAGTGAATAGAGTGTGCAGTTGCTTTTCACCGCTGTCTTTCTGTGGACACAAGCCGTGCTTTAAAACGCAGCATTTTACCGTGCAGCTAGTGTGAACCAGCCCTTACTGAGCTATGCCAACATAAAGAATTCCAGTGCAAGGACAGGAAGGAGGATTTTTACTGAGAGCTAATGGTATTTTAGGCATTTTCAAGCAAAAATTATTAACAGATCATAACATGCAGGGGTGCAGGACTATAAAGAGGCTTTAAAGCACGGAACTGTTTGGAATAATGCTAATGGGAAAAAAGTTTATAGCGCAACTCCAAGCAACAAGTAAAGTAATTAATTGAACTGTTTGTTAGTGCTATCCAGGAATCATTACTACTACTCCAACCCTTGTCACTACAGGCCTTAGCAGTGACATAGGGGTCAGAGGCAAGAACCATAGCAAGCAGTGGCGAGTGCAGGTGTTTGAAACTCCATGGTGTATTTGAAGGGGTAAGCATTACGTTTTAATTTAGATTTCTCAGGGAATGCCTTACAGTAGTTTTAAGTCAAACATTCTGTACCTTTTAAATCCACCCATCCATTCTAGCTAAGTTCCACTCCAAACTTTGCAGTGTTAAAGAAGTTAGGCTATGAAAGAGTTTGGTGTCACAATGGTGAGTGAGAAATGAGCCTGTAACATTTAATATTTTCATGGTCTATGCTTCCTGGATTGCCATGGTCCAAGGTAAAGTTATAAAAGCACAAATAGCTAGAGAAGACCTTAAAAAGAACCATGTATGTATGAACGCAGTGAAACCAATCAAAATGTTACTTGTATTCCAGGTTGTCTAAGGATATCTGTTATCTGATTGGTTGTTTGCAGGTGACAACACTTTTATTTGCAGGCAAACTTAAGACCCTGACAACATGGCTCCTTACCCTGGTTTCACCCCATGTCTCGTTTCCAATTTTCTCTGCTAAAAATTCATCATTTGTGATGAGGAAGTTGTCAAAAATTGTACCCGATTTTACCTAAAGAAACAAAATAATGCAGTTATTGAAGAACAATTTTACATTCTGGTTTTATGTAAACAAAGTCGAAAAAAAAATGGAATTGGCCAAACATGTTTGTCCTGCACATTTATTCAGAAATGTAGTAAACAAGCACAAAACAAAACATCTGCTCATCTGAGCCAATAATTAACTCTGGTCAACTGTGCACATGTTAGTTAAAAAAAAACATGTGCACAGCTGAGGCAAAAATTAGGTAATATGTGAATTTAGAAGTGGGGACTTTATCCCTACCACGACCCAAAACATTATTCTTCATAATAGACATAAATCTTGGAGCACCTCCCCAAGTGAGAAACCTAGGAGATACGCATACACCACCCACTAGCCTATCTGCCTCACAATATCTGTAGGACACTCATTCTTTGTAAAATGTGTGCAAAACTCCAATTGACAACAGGGGATATTGTGTACTCACCTGCCAGAGGTCGAAGCCAATAACTCCAAGTTCATCATATCTGTATAATGTGTCATCTGGAACATAATCTGGATTATCCATGTATGGCTGAACCCACAGCCCTTGGTAGTTTGGATTATCTATTATTTTCGGGACCCAAATTCCCTGTCCAGTGACATAAGAAACATATTGAAATGACTTTTGAGTATATTATTATTGGTTAATAATAAAATTATTGTGTAACAGATTTTTGTTTTGTTGAAACCGGGACTCGCCAAGGGACATTGGGGCATTTCTTGCACAAGGTAGAGTTAGCATCTTGCAGCAGTTGATTCTATCAGCGTTTTTCTTTACCACTGGGATGAATAAAGTTTATTGAAGACTCATGAGGTGTGTGGCCTAATTAAATAATGCAATAAGATTACAATAAGGAGGATTGGGAATCATTGGCCTGTGGGGCCAAACACAACCAAATAGCCCTTTTAGGGAAGGCAAATTTTTGCGAGCTAAAGAAAGTATATCATGCAAAGCATTCCTTGGTGTCGCATTGATTGGTGGTCATGGTGGGTGTTATTAAAGGTCATGGTTTATTGTGACACAGCTTCAGCTTCCTTTATGGTTCTTAGCATTTGGACACATGACATCTCAAAACAGGATGTTGATGATGGCAGACTTTCCAGCCAAATGCTGTGATTGAAAGTCTGAACAAGAAGCAGGGAGCCATATAATGGCCAATATGTGCCCCTGATTGGAGGTCCCTCAATGATCTGATCAGTCCTCCTTCCCCGCAGCCCAGTCCTTCCTCTGTCCTAGCAGACATGGGACACAGATATACTTCAATCCAAATCGAAAATTAAAAAGCCATTCTGGCCAACAAGTGAAAGCAATCAGCAAGCTTGAAGCAGAAGTCCAGGGAAAAATGTTATTTATGTTGGCCAGAGTTCTTCTTTAATGCTATCAACTAAATGCTGCAGTAATGCTAAAACCCTTCTCTGGATTCTCTGTACTCAAGAGGCAGTCTAACAGTTAGTAGGACAGGAATAGGATTATACATTTTGGAGCCTATGTTGTATAACTTCCCATCTATGCTTCCTGCATTAACAGTCACATTCGCATTTCCACGGCAGATCAGAATCTGATTGGTCCCCGTGAGAAACGTATTACTAGCATTTTTTTTACACTTTTTCTTTTAATAGAAATAGGTCTGTTTTTTGTTTTAAAGCCATGATGTGTACAATTTATTTATTTATAAAGAACAGTTTTTATAACAATATTATATAATTATATTCATAATAAAATGGAATGTTTTTGTTATTTTTCTGAGTCGATTTACTAGATGGCCCTTTGTAGAAATCACATGATCCGTGTAAAATTGCCCTACCTTGTATTTTGGATTGGGAATCACTGGTGGTTCCCATATCCCATCCATGGCAGAGTCCCAGTCATGGGGTTCCTTTGCATCTGGATCTGGAATTAGCTCTCTCTCATCCCAGTCCTGGTAATCATAAACATACACAGGGTCATTAGAAATATTCAGGGGGTGATTCATAAAATAGTGAAAACAGGAACGTGAGGGAGAATCCCCCCAGAGAGGATGCTGACAATAAAAGAATAACAGAAATGTTCAAGTAAAAACCAAGAACAAAATATTTAATATACAGGTATTCCTCACTTAATGACCGAGTTCCGTTCCTACGACCAGGTCGTTAAACGAATTGGTCGTTAAGTGAGGAATTCTATACAGTACTGTACTGCATTAGTACAGTACTGTATAGCGTTGCAGATGTACAGTAGCGAACAGTGTACTGTACATCGGGCAATGAAAATACTCACCGGGACCCGAAGTGAAGATCGGAGGAAGTCACTTCCCCCCGGCGACACGTCGCACTGACGTTGACGCGCCTGGTCGGAGGTCGGTCGTAAGTGCGAGTGGTCGCAAAACAGGTAAGTCGTTAAGCGAGGAGCATCTGTATTTTACTTGTTATCTCTCGTCTTGACTATTGCAATTCCCTCCTCATTGGCCGACCTCTACACAGGCTCCTCCCCCCTTCAGTCTATCATGAATGCTGCTGGTAGACTCATTCACCTAACCAACCGCTCAGTGTCTGCAACCCCCCTCTGCCAATCCCTCCACTGGCTTCCATCCCCCGCCCCCCTCTGCCGATCCCTGCACTGGCTTCCATCACCCAAAGCATAACATTTAGAATATTAACTCTGCCCCCAGATATATCTCTAACCTTGACTCAAAGTATCACCCTAACCGTCCCCTCCGCTCGTCCAAAGACCTCCTGAATTCCCAGCTCCCTCATCAACTCCTCCCATGCACGTCTCCAGGACTTCTCTCGAGTCTCTCCCATTCTCTACCCTAACATGTCCGTCTATCTCCCACTCTGGCTGCCTTTAGGCGATCCCTTAAGACCCATTTCTTCAGGGAAGCCTATCCCACCTCAACCTAACCACTGAACCATCACATTCTCAAACAACTCATTCCCACGCAGCTACCTCCTCATGTATAACTGACTACTCCCTTTTAGATTGTAAGCTGTCACAGGCAGGGCCCTCCTTACCATCTTGTCTTGAATTGTATTGTGATTGTAATGTCTTCCTTATATTGGAAAGTACTGCACAAACTGTTGGCGCTATATAAATCCTGTATAATAATAATATTACAGCTTACAAGATGTAATATAAAAATGTAAGTACATTTTCTGCAAGTACAGAAATATACCAGTTGACCCTGCCAGACATCCAGTGTCCTTATTGCATTGAAATCTTAAAGCTGAAGTTTAATGAAGGAGTGTAAATACATTTAAATAGAACTCAAATGGGAAAAAAGTAAAGCTGGCTATACACTGCTCGAATTTCAGCTGAGTCCTTCTGACTGGGCCAAAATTATAGCAGTGTGTGGCCCCCTGGGGTCCCTCTGTTTTTACACAAGAAGATTTTTCCTTCGACTTTTGTCAAAGGAACTAGTCCACAAAATCTCACAGTGACTGCAGCTAATTGGGGGATCCTGACAGCAGCAAACCCAACGTTCTCAGAATACAATAGCCTGTGGAATTAATTCCCCCAACCATATTGGGTCAATTGAGCGTTTTTTTGTATGTCGTTCAGCCCTCAGAAAACTTGAAGAGTGTATGCCCAGCGTAACCAAGAAAAACCTCCCAATGTGTTTAAAGTGGAACTGCAGGAATGTAAAACGTTAACCCTTGCAGTAGGGCTACCCCCAGACTGTAAAGCCCCATTCACACTTAGACCCCATTCACATTGAGCGATTTATCGCGCGGTAATTCCTGCGATATCGCGGCAAATTACCGCGCGATATCGCGCTCCAATGCAATCCAATGGGGCAAAGGGTCCTGCTGTCGCGGGTCGTGTGTCGCTACAGCAGGACCCTTTTTGGAGCGGATTTAGCCGCGATTCAAGCTTGATCAATGCAAGCTTGAACGCGACATCGCGCGGCAAATCTCGCGATGTCGCACAATATGCAAATCGCGCTACAAACGCGCGATTTGCATATCGCGCACTGGGAACGGGGCCTGAGCGATTTATTGCGCGATTTTCATGTCGCTCAGTGTGAATGGGGCCTAAGGGTTAACTACTCGTTTTGGTCTAGGAGCCCAAGTAAAAAAATATACTCACCACCTGATTCTCAATCCTGCTTGGCTTCTAGACCGGTCCCCTGCAGCCTCTTCTCCTCTGGGCTCTTGTGGTCTAAGCCCCACTGACGTCATCACGTCTAATGCAGTCCATCCACTTGCATTAAACACAAGGATGCTGAGGGACACACCACAGCCAGAGTGGAGCGGGAGATAGGTGAGTAGTCTCTGCCACAGGACTGAGGATCAGGTGAGTATATCTTCTGAATTCCAGCCCCCAGAGAAAAATGACCAGTTAACCCTTGCAGGGCGCGGGGTAGCCCAACTGCATTTGTTAATGCTGTTTAGACTCATGTTTATAATTAGAGTGTTCACTTTATCTTCCTGCATATAGTTTATTTCCCACTGACAATGGACTTGTCAGAGGCATCACAACACCTTTTATCTAAATATGTTTAAAGTGCATTTCCAGTGAGTTCTATTAGATGCAAAGATATCCAGGCATTATAAAAAAAAAACCCAAAGCTATTTTTTAAAAACACATTGGGCTTTTTAAAGATCTATTTACACCTAAATCTATGATATATGCATTCCATTGCCGTCAAGTGTCTCAAGAACCGCACAATATTCTTACAATGCTGTCAACTTACAGTAGGCGGTTAATGGGACGTTTCTGCTAATTATGTGGATTGGGACACTATGCTGACACTGTGCTCAGCAAATCTCTATACGCTGCTAATTTCAGCTGCATTAAAAAAGTAGAAATGCTTACAGCAGGGAGAATCCTTTCCAGAATAGGACAGTCAATAACTAATTAAAATGAAGCTGTCAGCCACTTTGAAGTTGTAAAAAGCAAATGTCTAAGAGCAGGTTATACAAGATGCCTGCCAATACTCTTATTAGCCAGAAAAGTGTGCTTTGTGCACCTCTCTGAAACTGGATTCACTGTAAAAGCTTCTCATACTTCTGTGCCAAACCTCACTCGCCCAGTCCAATGAGAGAGCCCTTACTGGACGCTGAGGCACCAACATTAAGGGCGCATTCACACTGGAATAAATGCGAGTCAACAGAGTTGCGTTGACTTGCATTTGCATAGTTCATTGACACTACATTGCTTTCTTAATTTTTTTTGTTTTATATGTTACTTTAGTTAAATAATAATTTTTTTTACACTCAGCTTTATTGCTATCACAAAGGGGGCTAAGAAGCCAGGTCCTCTTTATGGATACATCAGTGGTCTTTTCAGACCACTAATGTCACCTAGAGACCCCAAAAAAGCTGAGGAAGTAGAGATCTGCTTCCCCAGCTTCTTCTCTTGGCTCTAGGAGCCGGAGAATGTGCACAGTGACACCAGACGTGACTGATTTGCGTCTGCAAAGTTCATTGACACTACATTGCTTTTTTTTTTAAATGTTTTATATGTTACTGAATCTAGGACCTATACACACACACACACACACACAATAGGTTGGACTTGATGGACATATGTCTTTATTCAACCTCAAATACTATGTAACTATGTAACTTTAATTTATTTATATTTTACACTCAACTTTATTGCTGTCACATAGGGGGATAAGAAGCCCCCTATGTAATAGCAAACAGCATGTGACAGGTCCTCTTTAGGGAGACATCAGGGGTCTTTCAGAACCCTAATGTCACCTAGGGACCCCAAAAAAGCTGAGGAAGCAGAGATCTGCTTCTCTAGCTTCTTCTCCTCGCTCTAGGAGCCGGTGAATGTACACAGTAACACCGGAAGTGATATAATACACATCATTCCAAGTTCATTGATCAGAGAAAAGATCAGTGGCTGGAAGGGGAGACTCACTGTGCCGCTCAAGGGCCTGCACGGGGGACAGCCGAGCCTGGGGAAGCCGTCAGATTGTTTGTATTTAAACAGCAATCGCCTGCTGTAAAAAGATACCAAGAACGTGGCTGCAGCCGCAGCCGTGTTTTTGGTATAATCGATTAAGAATAGGACTTTATTTCACGGTCCTGAAGCGGTTAAGTAACATATCCCGTGAGGTCATGGTGCCAAATTTCTTTGCACTGCATCGATGTGCATTGACACGTATTGCATTGCATTACGCTTAAAAAAAGTAGAGCAAGCTCTGTTTTTTTCGGCACTCAGCAACACAACTGCTCACATTCACACCCCTTCATTTTCTGATGTCCTTGTGTTAGCATCCGTTGAAAAGCCAAAGCATCTGGTGTGAATGGGGCCTAACACTACTTATTGTAAAACTATGAGAAGTCAAGCAGTAGTAACAATATTAAACTGGTATCAGGACCCATTCACACTATAGTAGTGACCTGCATTTTTCTGCACAGGAAAAACACAGGTCAGGACTGGGGTGCCTAGCCGTGTTTTCTATGAGCCCTGTTCACAACACATCGTGTGATTGGTAGTGCATTTTTCCGCAGCACACTGGATGCCACCGTAGGGCAGCTCACTGCGCTGCTTTGCAGGGACCTGAATGATGTGTACACCTTGTACACTACCAATAAACTAAAAAAAAAAAGTAAACAGTGACAACTCCGGCAATGGGGGATACAACACCCACTGCCGGAACTCTTTCAACACACTAGCCCGGCAGCTAAAAAGCTCTATTTTAGTGGATGGGCTAGTGTGAACGTGCCTTCAGAGTAGGGTTGCCACCTTTTCTTCCAGTAAAACCCAAACACTCTAGCCACGAACGCAAATTTTTTGGGGACACTAAGTTGCGGCTTATTCATATGTAAATAGCGCCACCCATTAATATGTAAATATTACAGTCGAGACTATTTTCAGTGGGGGGCCATTAGCCCCTACCTTAATTTTGGTTGCCCCTGTCTGCCTGACGTCTTGTGCCCGGGTTTGGGCTGCCATGAAACCTGGATACAGCATTCAAAACCCGGACTGTCCGGGTGAATTCTGGACAGGTGGCAACACTACTTCAGAGAGACACATGGAAGAGGTGTTTTTGGAAAAAACATCTTGTGATGCCTGCTGTTAAAGTAAACCTGTCATGATAGAAATACAGGGAGTCTCATTTTCAAATCTTACCTGAACAAACTGAAGAGAGATGCCGATTGGTTGCCATGGGCAACTGCTGCAGATTCTGTTTGCTCCAATTTTGATCAATTCCCCCCATTCACAGTTAGAATTTTTTTTTAAATAAAGTTTTACTGGGGTATGGCCAGCTTTAGCCTAAGTAACACCAAACTCTATAACAGCCTAACCTCCTTAAAGATACCATGGTAAAATGGTTATGCATTGTACAGTTATTAACATATATGTAAGCCGAAATGCTAAAACCTTATACGATCCCTAACATGTTAATGTAATTTCAAAAGTCACTTATTTTAAAATGCATACCTTCCAAAATTATAACTGGTAATCCTGCCATGAAGACTTCCTGTTAGGGTTCATATACACAGCCATCCTTGGCCATACTCACCCCAGAAATACACTGTTCTCAGGGCTGTCCCTTAGGTATTCGCCGCCTGAGGTGATGTGGTGCCGTTCCGGGTGAGGGAGGCTGCGGGGTGCTAGCAGAGGATGGACACTTGTGGGGGGTAATTGTTGTGCCGAGTTGTCATCCATGGGGGGAGGGTGCAGACGACATCTCAGCGGCTGTCAGCGGCCGGCGTTGGTGGAACGCAAGCCAGAGCGTCCCGCTTAGCTCCTGGCAACCGGTGACATCAGTGAGCTGGGCGGGAAGCTGCACAGAGCGTCACAGCCATGTTCTGGTTGGTATGTGGCCAACTGTAAGTGTAAATGAGCCCTAAAAGGGTAATAGTGCTCTATCCCTGTCCCCAGTTGTGCTCCAATGTTGTCACCCTGTCACATTGGCTTTTTGAGGGACACTACAGGTAGCCATGTCATCACACAGATATGGTCCACTGAGAAGCCTGCCCTGAGAAATGCCATGCAATTATTAATGATGCACAGAGCTTGAGCGAAGCAAATGGCATTCATTTATGGCTTACATCCACTTTAAAGTCCAATTATGTATTCATAAATATTTATTTCTTTTTTAAATACTGTTAGTATAACGAGTGTAAATGTTTAGACAGCTTACAGGAAGAGGAGATCACAGGTTGGAAATAACAATGATGTTCATTAATGAGCAGAACAGGAAAATGCTAAACTGCAATATGAAATGGTAGAAACCACAATACACCACAACATCCATCACTGGAAGTACAGAGTGGTGTCTATCTTTCCTGTTGTACTATTTTGCAGCATAAAGTGCAGAATTTGTTTCAATGCTAAGTTAAAGTAAATCTTAAAGAACAATAACTATAGTAAATATGGTAACGGTTTCCTTTTACAGGAAGGAGTACAGTAGCTCCTCTACTTTTCTTACATCTGGCCTGAGCTCATTGGGGTCCTCAATCCTCTCCCGATCATCCCAATCCACAGGCTGTGTAGCATTTATGTCTTTGATTTTAGGGGGCAGTAGGAAACCAAAGTCATCCTCCAAAGTCCCATTTGCCACCACCTTGTTGTCAATCTTCACTGCATATGTATTGTTTGGTCGGATAATTAGGGTGTACAAATGGGTGATTTCATCATGCTGTTGAAAAGAAAGAAACAGTACTAAAATCTAAAATAATGCATTCGTTCATATCAGGCTTAAAGACCTCGACTGAAAGGATTAGTGACTCACCCGCTTCCCTTAAAGTACATATAAAGCCAAGAACTTTTTTTAGCTTAGATTTTAGAGTAGAGAAGAACCTATGCCAGGTTTTATTGCTGTCCATGGCCCGGGGACAAATAGTAATGGGACATCCAAAATTTTACAGATGTCATCAAACCAGGAGCAGAGGGGAAATCTTTGAATGGGGACACCTGTTCTTGTGACAACTGTTTAGGGGAAGATTTCCTCTTGCTTTCTGCTGGGACATCTCCTAATGGCACGCAAACCCCCCTCCCCCCCCAAAAAAAAAAATTAAAAATGGGGTTTTATTTATTATTTTCTACCCTCTTCAAGATTACACAAAGTTTGGCTTTAAATCAGTGGTTCTCAACCTGTGTAACCTCAGGACCCACATTTGTCCTTGGCCATTAAGTCGCAACCCAAGTTGCAGTGCAGTGGAATGCACGGCATTGGGGGACTGCGCATTCTGGTGCAAGCGTATGAACTGTGGGTGGGAGGTGCGTTTGGGGCACCATTTAAATGAGTGGCAATGCAACACGCCTCCCACACCAGAATGCACAGTAGGTGCGATTCCATGGGAAAGTTTAACTCATTGTACTACTGTGAACAGGCCCTCAAAAACACTGACATACATACACACACTCACATTTTTTTTCTAAGTTCCACCCAGTCTTCCTACCTTGCGAGAACTGGAGTGATTCCTCAGGCTAGGGTCCAGTGCTGTATGGTGACGGAGCTCCATCCATACGTGTATCACTTGTACAGCTTCCTTGCGTATCCTGTAGAGGTGCTGGGAGACAGAATGTTTCATCGCTCCGGTCCAGGCACCTCTACAGGACACGTGAGGGAGGTGTAAGCAATGCACTTATGGCTGGAGCTCCCTCGCGGCCATAGCCCCAGCCTACCCCACCTGTGCTGAGCAGTATATTTTGAATGACTGCTTGGCGCGAGAACTGACAGCGCTGTGCTAGGGGAAGGCAGAGGAGCATGCCGCCTAGAAAAGCAGAAGGCATGTGGCGACCCATTGAACACTGGGTCACGACCCACTTTTGGGTTACGACCCAACCGGTTGAGAACCAAGGCTTTAAATGACACGTCTCAAATTGTGCAAGTAGATAACTAGCCCCCAAAATCATACAACTAGTTAAAGGAGAACTATGGGGTTAAGGCTTTTCCCCATAGTTCTTCTTAGGGTAACGGGAGGACACAAACTAGCGTCCTCCCATCACCCTAAGCTGTAGCTCGCGGTATACTGAGACGCCGCAGCTGAAGCGGATCCCGACAATTATGTCTGGATCCGCCCAGCTGCGTGAGTGACAGCTGGCTCTGCCTATCTAGAGGCAGAGCCAGCTGTCCCGCCCCCTCCCCCGTCCGATCCGCCAGTCAGCGCTGGCGGATCGGAGCAGGGAGGGGGGAATCCAACCCCTCCCCTGTCACGGCAGAGAGCTGTGACAGGATCGAGAGGTGAGCGAACGCCGGTATGTGTTCGCTCACCTCCCAATCTACTGAGCCGACCTGTGACAGTCTCATTGTCACAGGTCGGCTAGAACTATGAGGTGAGTGAAAAGCACTCACCTCATTGTTCTCCATTAAGTGCTCATGCACCCAGGGTGCCCCAAATCCCAGGGCTCTTTGTTGCTCAGGTCTTGGTTGCAATTCTTGGTTCTTTCATACCTGAGGGTCAGACAAACACTGGCCTACTGACGCACTTCACATCAGAGCTCACACCTCCATACCTTGCATGTAATATTCTTCGTTATTGAATGGTGTTTCTCCTTATAATTTAGAATAACATGGACTTTCTCATGGATTGTACCACATATGTCGGGACCTGAAAATGTGACAGTAGAAAATGTGTTTCTGTTGTGATGACATATATATATATATCAAAAAAAATATATATATATATATACACACATACACACACATATACATACATACAGTCCAAGTATTTGTGCCCTGCATTTCTAATAAGCAAGGTAGTAAACACACACAGTGCAATGTAGGAGGGCTTTGTAAAGAAACACAAAAAATAAAAATGCCCATTTGAACAACTAACTAAACTTACAGTATGTCTGCTGCTAACATGGTGCCCCCTAATGGGTTTCCCAAAACAAAAGCACATGTACTCTTATAGCAAGGGTCACTAAATGGCAGATGTGGTCCAGATGTGGTAGGCGGGGACATTCATCTGGCAGGATAAGGTATGCTGTCGGTTCCCCTCCTCTCTCATGCAGCAGTCGTGCTCTCAGTCCATGACCGAGTGGCTGACTATTCAGAGGGGATGACACCAAAATGACTGTCAGCCATATGGTGTCACCCCCTCTGATGGTGTCTCCTGGTGCGGGCCACACCCCCTTGTGATGCCACTGTCTGTCATGGCCTTTTGCGAAGGAATCTGCATGCCTTCGGGCACCTTTTGGCTTATATCACAAACACAACTTTATCAAGGGTAGCTTTATTTTCAAGCAAATTCCTCCCACAAAGAAACTACTCACCAAACATAATACAATATAAGGTGTCGCCATGTATCTGCTCTTGGTTTGTGTCTGCAGGATATATTTTCACGTAGCCTCCTCCACAATCAATTGCTTGCTCGTGTTTAACAGTAAACTGTATCACTAAACTCTGGTTCTCATTGCCGATTGGCTCAAACCGAGCTGACAGAGCGTAGTACTTCCAGTCCTCAGTGGTCTGTATACCTGCAGCAATGGCATGAAAATAGCACGCCTTTAACGTTAACGTATAATAAACAATACATTTTAAGGTACGGACAAATGACTAAATTAAGACTGAACTCCAATCACAAGAGCGTTCATTCAAATATATTCCTCAATAGGTACAAAGGATATAAATACACTTTATGAGCATCAAATACTTTTGCAAACCCGGTGAGTTCCTTAGTAGAAATTACATCACCACTGTGCTGTACTAAGCCTGTGAAAAGAGCAGAGCTTTGGGAGGGACCCATCAGGCCTCACCCACTACAAGCTGGCTGCAGAAAACTACAGGGGGGGCGGAGACAAGACCAGTCATCCTGCACATGGAGAGAGAGCAGCAGTGACTGGTCTTTATTACAGGAAACTCCTACAAGTTTCTTGCTGGGCCACTGCACAAACCTGGATGAAATACGCAAAGCATTATAAGAGTCAGTTAATAATACACATGCCTCTTGTATTTAGACAACATTTGTTTATCCTGTGGTTCAGCTTAACATTACAATTATTGTCACATATTTACTTGTACTAAAACAATACTAGGTAAGTGTTCCATCCCTGTGGACTGGAGTTACACTTCAATAGATCTAGTATGCCATGCTATGGAAATATTTAATATTGCCATATTAGTTTGCTTTTAAGAAGGCGTTACAGAGTGTACATTAATGATGCAGCAATTGAAGAGATAAACATGGGCATGTGTTGGGCACACAGTCTTATACAGGGGTCAGCAACCTAAGGCACAGGTGGACACACAAAGCTATTTTCAGTGGCACCTGGAAGATTGATAGTAACATATCTACAACAGTATGTGATTTTTCTCATTAAAACATAATTCTAGTAATGTTTGTAAAACAATATCTGGTCAGTAGTGTACGGAGTTTACTGGACAAATGGTTATGCTGGTGGCCTTTGCATTAATCTGTGCATTTGGTCCATATACACCTATAGATTATCTGCAGATTTTCTATGGTGTGGCAGCACATTGGTCTAGTGGTTAGTACTTCTGCCCTGTAGCATTGAGGGTCCCCGGTTTGAATCCCAGCCAGGTCACTATGTGCAAGGAGTTTGCATGTTCTACCTGTGGGTTTCCTCCAGGTACTCCAGTTTCCTCCCACACTCCAAAGACATGCTGGTAGGTTAATTGGCTCCTCTCTAAATTGCCCCTCTATGTGAGATCGGGACCTTAGATTGTAAGCTCCTTGAGGGTATGGACTGATGTGAATGCGCAACTATGTCAATGGTGTTGTGTAAATTGTCTGCACTATATAAATACCTGTGAGAAATAAATAAAATGGTCAGATGGAAAAAGTGCAACAGATTCCTCCATATATGCTAAACTGTGTGGATGGAAGAATCTCCCGCTGGGCCAAGCTTCAGTATCTTGCTAGTTGGCCCCGCTGGCTCTGAACAATGCCTGCATCCAATCTGTTTTGAGAGCCAGTGGGGCCAACTAGCAAGATACTGAAGCTTGGCCCAGTGGGAGATTTCTCCATCCACACAGTTTAGCGTAGATGGCGGAATCTGTTGCACTTTTTCCATCTGACCATAGACAATCTGCAGATAATCTATAGGTGTATGGCCAGCTTTAATGTAAAAAAGGTTGCTGAGCCCACGTATTATATAACTTTTGTTAAAGCCCAATTCTAGCCAAAACATTTTATTTCGTCTTGGATAAAGTAGGGGACGGTTTGAGCCTTTGTAAATTTACTGTGTCAGGAAATCGATAGTGCCTGTTGTCAAAATGAAATCACGGTTTGCAGATGAACTTATAGGTTCATCTGAACCCAAATGTGCTTTTATTTTTAAATGAAAGCAGAACTCCAGGAATTATATAAATCCAAATGTGCCAAACTCCACTGATCTTCAGGAAAGAGAATATATATATTTATTAAGCTGATACATACTGCTTGCTCCTCTCCACATAAACCTTAACTACTAACGCATTTCACGGTGTCGGCTTACTCATAAAGAGTCTCAGAGAAAGCCAACATGGTGAAACGCGTTAGTGGTTACGGTTTATGTGGAGAGGAGCAAGCTTGTGGATTCCAGGAATTATATGTTTAGGAAACGTACATTGGGGCAGCTGGTTCAATGTAAGTATTCATATCTGATATCAGAAGTTCAGCTTGGGATACTACAAATCACTGTAGTAGTCTGCACCACATACAGTGTGCTCCAATTGGAGCTCTGAGGACTTCTTCTCTGCACACTGAGCGCAGGGAGTTGCTTGCTTGGCACCACCACCATTCAGAGAACGCTTTGTATTTTCTTTTAATGCATACAAGACGTTCTCTGATTGGTGGAAATCATGTCATTATTTGCCCCCTTCTGTCCACCTTGTTCAACCTCGTTCAAGGCTGTCCACCTTGTTCAAGGCTGTTCAATACAGCCTTGTATTCTCTGAATGGTGGCAGTGCTGAGGAACTTGGCTCCCTGTGCTCAGTTTGGAGAGGGGAAGCCACTGAAGCTGCAACGGGAAGATCCTGGCTATTACTCTATGTAGAGTAGACTACTACAGTGATTTTCAGGATCCCTGGTGGCCCTTCGGATATCATATATGGGTACTTACATTGAGCCAAGCTCAGCAAATGTAAGCTTCCAGAAATATAATTCCTAGAGTTCCACTTTAAGCTATTACTGCACCCTTTCTATAAGAAGGTAGAAGTTAACATTGAGGAAATCATTGGCCTTTCCTGAATAATATCACATTATTAAAGGGAAGGCCAAAATGTTGAAAATGATTGGTTGGTGTGGATAACTGCACTTTCCACATCCTCATTGCTCTTTGCACTTTGTCCAATGAAGCTTACCTTTATCCTTTTCTGGATCACCCCAGAATTTACCAGCACTCAGCTGCCACTTGCCATAGTCAGACTTGTTTTTGGATTCAACCCACCTTTTCTGCCACTCGTCTAAAAGGAATGGATAATAGCATGAAATTGTAAAGGGTTTAGAGCAGAGCCAACTATCATAACAATCTAGAATCATAACAGTCTAGAAGTGCACAGTTTGCAATCAGCATATCAATATGCCAGTCCAAAGCAATTTTAATGATCACATACATTACAAGCAACATTTTGGAACCACTAAGGGAACCCCTTATTAGGCAGTCACACTCAGGTAAGGTTACCCATCAAGCCAGCAATCATTTTCCACTACATTATAAAATGTAATTGTTGCCATCTGTAAGGGGGGCCAGGAGACCAATGGGTTGATTATTTGTATATCTTTTCAATCTGGGGGGTTTTGGAGACAGTTTGCAGCCTACTACTGACTGGCGAAATAACAGCATGCAAACCTCTGGCCAATTAGAAAGAGATAAAATGATATGGTCACTGGTGTGACCTTTGATTGGACAATCTCCTTTCGAATTACCAATAACAACCAATGATCAATGACCCATCAGAGCCTCTTAAGTTAAAGGTTGTACATTGTACATCTGAATATTTGCTAAGGGTGATTCCTTTGTATCTCTAACCACTACTGTCATGCCTGGAGGCAGCCCTAAAGTGATCCTGTCAGCAATTTCAAACATTTAAAAGTAAAATTCTTGGCTAAAAGCAAAAACAACAAAGTTCCTTCTCTTTTTTTTTCTGGTTAAAAAGCGTACCTGTAGGTAACTAAAGTGCATCTAAACTAAAAAATATTTTGAAACTTAATCCCTAGATGTGGTGGCTGCATTACTTTGTAAGCATTTTTCCATTTATTTTATCTGGTGATTCTGCCTGTAACATACTTCTTGTCCAAGGATGACAACGCTTACTGACTGCACTGTATCTTTGAAGAAGCAGCATTGTCACACTACAACAGGACAACAGAAACCTACCACTCTCTTCTTCTCCATAATATAGGGGGAGTGTTTCTGCGGTTCTCAGAGATGACTAGGAACAATGTAACTGCATAGACTATAGTATAGGCAGCGCAACACAACATAACAGGAAGTTGTCAGCTGACAAGATTTCTGGCAGGATGAAAAAGTATGTTTTTTGCACTTATTGAGCGGATATAAAAAGAAATAATAATATAGGAGGAAATGAAAGAGGTTCACTGCTAGTGTTTGCATACCATTTAAGAAGGGCAATTACTTTTAAACGTTTGAAATAATTGACAGGTTCTCTTTAAACTGTACATAGATGTCAAAGAATGGTCACATGTGCATAATCAATGTCACCAACTTACAAAGTGTGCAGTCACAGCAATCTATAGAGTTACTTTATGACCCTGTAGACATCATTGCGCAGGTTATACTCCAGTCTTTGTGTGGGAGCCTTCGGGAATTGTGACAGTACTAGATAATACAGTAGATGCATGGGCTTGCACAGCTGTGCTTTGGAAGCTATACTGACTCAGTGTGTGTAAAGGTACATGTAATAGTTACACTCAATGACTTTGTACCTCCATCCTCAAACTGCTCTCGAAAATATATGATAGGGTCTGCAGATACAGCCAAGACAGAAGCTGCCAACAGCACGCACCACCTCATGTCTTCAAAGAGAGATTCTGGATCCCAGGTGTCCAAGGATAAAGAGAGATGTACACTTGTTACAATAGTGGTTATATATGGATAAAACGCTGTAAACATTAATGGAAGAAAGACTGATGTAAGAAAATGACTTTAGTGGTCATAATGAACTCTTTTTCAAACATGAGTAAGCAACCAAGAAGCAATACAGAAAATAAAAGGAAAGATATCTCCAAAAAATACACGTTATAACATTATTGTGCTTATAAGAGTTAGAGCAAGAGCCCTCCACCCAGTAAAGCTCACGTTCCCTGATGAGTGGAAGGCTCTAGCTCTAAAGCCGGCCACACACCTATAGATTATCTGCAGATTTTCTATGCTCAAATGGAAAAAGTGCAACAGATTCTTCCATCTACGCTACACTGTGTGGATGGAGGAATCTCCCACTGGGCCAAGCTGCAGTATCTTGCTAGTCGGCCCCGCTGGCTCTCAAAACACCTGAACAATGCCTGCATCCAATCAGATTGTTCAGGTATTTTGAGAGCCAGCGGGGCCAACTAGCAAGATACTGAAGCTTGGCCCAGCAGGAGATTCCTCCATACACACAGTTTAGTGTAGAAGGAGGAATCTGTTGCACTTTTCCATATGACCACAGAAAATCTGCAGATAATCTATAGATGCATGGCCAGCTTTACTCACAGAGGGAGGTCAGACTGCAGCAGAGAGAAGTGCTGCTTACACACAGAGCACTGCTGTTTTGGCTCTGCTGCAACATGGCGGCAGGGGGCAGACTATTTCCTATAGGTGTGGGCTGCTTTACCTTCTAAATGGAAAAAAAAGGTCTGTGGTCACTTACAATTATGGTGCACACGGATATTGTTATATTAATTACAAATATTGATTTATCTACATATTGTACTTTACATATTGTACTTTATATTGTACTTTGTACTCTTTGGTGCACACAAAGTGGATTTATGTCCTTTGTGGCTATTATGTAAATTAACGTTTTTGTGCCTGGAGTGCAGCTTTAAGGTTTCAGTGCCTGGAGAAGTTACTTGAATGTCTGTAAAGCATCTCCAAAACCCATGTCTGTGTCTAGTGATGGAATAATAAATAAAAAATAATAAATGATGTTAAAAATGCTGATGTGTTGCTTCATGCGAAGAAAGATTCTAATGATAGCTTCACTTTAATACGAGTAACAGCTGGTACTGAATTGCTTTGGTAAGCAGAATGGAAATGTATCCCATAATTAACAACGCCATCCAGTGGCCTCATCATTAGCCAACTCTGATACCGTACGTATGTGCTGTTTACCTTTTACTATAGTAATGAGCAATGATGTGGTAATTGTAGAATAAGGCCCTGTTCACACCTTTACGTTTTGTTGCGCGTTCAACGCTCTATGAACGCTCTACAAAACGTACAAACTTGAAAATCCCATTGTTTTCTATGGGTATGGTTCACACCTTTCCGTATTTCAGCCCGTCTGAACGCGCTACAAAACGGCCTACGCCCAAAGAAGTACATGTACTTCTTTGGGGCGTTTTGGTCTCGCGTTTCCATTGCGATACAGCCAAGTAGCCCTCGGAAACGCACGTTTGTCGCGAATCGTGGTAAAAGAGCGCGCTGTGAAACGCGCGACAAACGCGCATATTCAATACGTCTAGGTGTGAACCCGCCCTCAGTGATATGCAGTATATGGCAAGAGTTCAAGCTGAGATCTCAGCTCCCTATAACAATGCAGGAAAGGGCTCTACTACCTCTGATAAAACATACAAGCTGCTGTACACTGGCATCTAAACAACTTCCATAATTTCAATCTACATATTGTATAAAATAAACATACTGGGGGGAATTTATCATAGCAATTACGAGTGTTTGAACTTGCATGGAATATATTTGACCAGGGGTGTAACTAGAAATCACAGGGCCCCATAGCAAAAATTTGTATGGGCCCTGTGATTTCTAGTTACGCCCCTTGCAGGGCCCACCTGAGAGTGACCCTGCCAAGCCCGCCCTCTCTATGGTGGGCTCTGCAGGGTCTCAGGTGGACTGGTCACACCCCTGCACACCTCTTACCTGTCAGCCCCGATCCGCTGTCAGCCTTCTCCACCGCCAGGCCCCGTCTCCTCATCGGCCGCCGGCCGCCTCCCCCACAGTTGCTGGGCCTGGCCTCTTCCTTCTCCTCCACAGCTGGCAGGCCCCTCCTCCTCCTCCGCTGCTGCTGCTGGGCCCCGGCCTTCTCCACCGCAAGCTGCTGACTGTCACTGACTCAGCAGCGGCTCTGGGGAGGAATGCACAGAAACAGTTCCTCCTTACAGCCGCCAGTGACAGCCAGCAAGCAGCTATATCATCAGGGGGGACCCCTTTGTTCCTCATCCTGGCCGGGCCCCCCTGTTCCCCGGGCCCCAAAGCGGCCACCTGGATCGCTATGGCGATAGTTGAGCCACTGTATTTGATGCACTTTGCGCCTGATTTATGTTGCTAGTGTAATGTTGTTCATAAATGAGGTTAAATAGATTCCAGGAAAGAAGACTCGTAACTCCAGGCAAAAAGCTTAACTGTCGCTTCTTGAAGAAATGGTCCTGGGGACTTCTTAAGTTGCGATTTGTTTTTTAGGTGGTGCTACAGTTTCAGACAGCCGCAGAACAAGTGCAGATGTAAACAGTTGCAAACTTTCACATAACCGGCGCAAAACACGTGCAATTGGAAAAATAGTGCAAGCTCTGGTCAAAACAGGCGCACATGTTAAAAGACAGATTTGCACATAAAATGTTTTTATCTAAGAGGCTAAAACTGTCGCAATTGCTTTGATAGATTCCCCCTGATGTATGTATCCAGTACTCATTGCTTTGCACCCCCAATCCTTCATTTAAAGGAAATGCAAAAAGAGCATTTCTCAGAGCAACCAATCAGATTTTAGCTTTCATCAGTTCTCAACATTCAGCACAAGTAACAGTTGCTACTTATGGAATCTTAGTGGTTAGTGAACTTTATACCTTGCCCTTTGCCTGTTAACACCTAGGAGTTTTTGAACAGTGCAAAAAGCGCTTTTAGGCCCCGTTCCCACTGCGCGATATGCAAATCGCGCGTTTGTCGCGCGATTTGCATATTGCGCAACATCGCGAGATTTGCAGCGCGATGTCGCGTTCAAGCTTGCATTGAGCAAGCTTGAATCGCGGCTAAATGCGCTCCAAAAAGGGTCCTGCTGTAGCGACACACGACCCGCGACAGCAGGACCCTTTGGCCCATTGGATTGCATTGGAGCGCGATATCGCGCAGTAATTTGCCGCGATATCGCGGGAATTACCGCGCGATAAATCGCTCAATGTGAACGGGGTCTTAAATGTCCAACACAAGAAATCCCATGATTTTCAATGGCCCTGAGCAGAAAAACGTCAGCAGGAAAACGCCAAACGCCCGAAAAGGTATGTGAGCTTCTTTGGGCAGTTCAAAGCGCTTTTTTGCCCCATAGACTTAATTGGAGAGGCCCTAAAATGAGCGGCAAAAGCATGTTGCACATTTTTGTGAGCATTTTTGCACATTTAAACACGCGTTCTTCCATCGCCCACAATGTTTTATGAGCCTCATGCTGCTAACTCGCGTAGAAACACGCAAAAACAGTGCCGCCTAGGTGTGAATCAGGGCTTAAAGGGTAAGTTCACTTTCCCACGGGCCAGATTTGAACGGGTAATTCCATTTTCCCAAATTACTTTGGAAAGTGATCTTACCCTTTAAACCTGTATATGTATTTTTTTTTTATTTTATGTACTAAGCTAAACAGCAAAGCAATGAACCACATTAACCAACCAAAAATCCCCATAAATTATTGTAACTGCTCCAAGCTGATAAAAGCTGAAATCTGAAGTGTGGTTAATGTTTTTTACAGTGTTTCTTCATATACTACTACAGAAGTCATAGTTTACCAAATGACCAAGGGATGGGCAACTCCGGCGCTCCCGCTGTTGTGCAAGTCCCATGAGGCATTACAAGACTGACAGTTACAGGCATGACTCCTAGAGGCATGTTGGGATTTGTAGTTAAAGCACAGCAGGGGGGCCGGAGTCGCCCACCCCTGAGATAACCCATGATGTGTCACCTTATCTGGAGAAACAATTTAAAGCTCATCTCCAGTCAAACAAAAAAGTACCCTTGCATTGGGGTTACCCCCACACTGTAAGGGTTAAGTGCCTGTTTTTGTCTAGGGTTTGAAGTAAAGCAGATTTATTTACCTGAACCCCGCTCCCCTGGCTGTTGGCACTCTACCTTTTTCCCCTCTGCTCCATCTGCTGGAATGAACCTCTGTGTCTACACATCTAATGCAGGTCTATGGAATGTCAGTGGTCATTAGTCCACTGGAGCTGGGGTGAGAAGAGGCTGCAGCAACCATTCTAGTAGCCTGCAGGGAGCCAGCAGGAGAGAGGATCAGGTAAGTAAATCTGTTTTACTCCAGTACCCTAGACAAAAGCAGGTACTAAACCATAAGGGCCCATTCACACCACATCTAGATTACCTCCAGAGCAGACCAGACTGTTTCCGGACCCAAAATGCATCCCAGTGTATCCCTTTGCTATTTCTGGCCTCTGTTGCCACCAGCGCAGTCCGTACCAGACCAGAAAAATACTGTTTGTCCTATTTTGTCTGGTCTGGAGTGCACTGGAACGCATAAAAAATGCATTAAAAACACATGGAACGCAGTGGAATACACCGGAACGCACCTGTAAGACCATTTTAAGCTTAAAAAAAGGAAAAATTCAAAACGCGGCAAAATCAATGTAAAATCGCGGTATAAACGTGGCAAAAACGCAATGCACTATGTTCCAGATCTGGTCCAGAAAATGGTGTGAACTCAGCCTAACAGTGCCAGGGTACTTTTTTTGTTTGCCCAGAGATGGGCTTTAAATATGTAGATGGATTACCAGCACTCCATAATTGTGAATAAATGCTTTCTAACTTATCAACAATAATATATATACTGTATATTCCTCATAGACAAATGTTTTACATACAATATCTTGGTATATATACAGCATACAAGTATAGGTTCCTCACACTTGAATGGAAGTAATTACATTGCGGGATAAAGATCCATCCTCCTCATTACTTCTTACCTATCAAATGAGCAGGTTATATGATAATATTACTTATACAGAGGCTCCCCAGGCACATTATAAGGCTTACTGCTACAAATGGGATTGCTGTGCAATGCTTTATAATGGAAAACACACACACATACACTTGAAAAGCATTACAAATCATTGATATAAGGTGCACTGAAAGTAAAATATGCATGTCATAAATAAAAAACACAAAATATGCAGAAATAGTGTAGATGCAACACATAGTGAAGCAGAAATATAAGATACATATATAATAAATGTTCTAAACAGAAGAGATCTCCATCTACACAGAATATCTGGCATACCTGTAGAAATGTATCGGGAGCAATTGAGAAAGCAACAGGTAGCCAGGCAGGTGATGTGCAGGACCCATGTGGCTTACACTGTAAATAGATTCTACTCTCAAACTAGTTCACAAACAGATGGCTGCTTGTCATTGGTTGGTGAAGACCCAAGGCAGCCAATCATAGCAAACCACATGCAGGCAAGAGAAGATGAGGAGGGCATGCTGCAGCTGAGCTACACCAAATTGCATTGATAACCTGCTAAATTATAGTGTATTTATCAGTATTCTATATGTTGTTGTTTTTTTTTAAGGCGTTTACATATAATAGAAATGTCAACTATACAAAGATGTGTGGCCCTTCACTAACTGATTGGCTGCACTTACGCCGTGTTCTAATAAACTGTACCTAAGGAATTGTATTGGATCTTGTACCTTATCATAGGCTTCAGGGAGGGGTGAATTATTAGCATACATGATACATGAATATATACTGTATCTCTTTCCCTACAAACTGCTGTCATTGAGAATATAGTTGATGTTATTTTTAAACATATTAGCAGGTTGTCCAGCAGCCATTGTTTATGAATTCATTCATATAGTCTCCTACATCATACAGAATTACAATCCACTGCAAACGTATTTAACTATAACAACCAATAACATAACCAACATAGAAAAGAAACATCTTCACTCAGTGCAACTGAAGCCAAACCCTTTGTTTTTTAGTTCTGGACAGAGTGGAGAGGGATTCTAACACTGGCCACTGGTTTTTATTGCTGTCTGTGTTCCTATTAGGGAGATTTGCTTCTCTCCTAGTGACCATTATCACTGAAAGTGAAAGCAAATATTGGGTTGTCGCCAGAACAGGAAAAGATGGGAAATATTCCAATGGGGACACTAGTTCTAGTGACCCTCCTGACCACATGGGATTTCCCTCACTTTAGAGGAATTACCTTTCACACCCTGTTGTGGCTGTTGGACAGAAACTGAAGGGAAATCTTCCAATGGAGACATTAGTTCTGGTGGCCCTGCTGACCACCAGGGATTTCCCTCACTTCCTGTTGTAGCTATGGGACAGAAGGTGAAGGTTAATCTTCCCATTGGGACACGGAGGGCAGGAAACAAACTGATAGGGGTTGTACCCCTCCCTTACTCTATCCAAAACTAAAAAAAAAAGTTGTGGCTTCAGTTCTACTTTAAGAATCAGGAGCAAGAGTTTCTATCACTTCCTGAATGTTTCCATGAGACTATTCAGTTAGTATTCCAACATGTAATGGTGTTATTCAAACTACGGTAACCAATCAGAATTAGAGTGTATGTGAACATTTCAGTATATGAATTTGTGCTCATGTTTACTAGAGGTTTTTTTTTATGCATGGACAATTCGTTTTATTATCAGAAATACATTTGAATGACCTTTTTTTGACTTGGTTTTATGGCGGTCACATGACCACTATATCCCCTCTTCCCTCAGGAAGGGTGGTGGCAGGGTCTCCTACTGAAGAACCATGGGATCCCTGTCAGGAGTCGTCGTCAGTCATGTTTTGCAGGACTCAGGCTGGTCATACACACTCAGGGACTGATGTAGATGATGCAGATTCCACGCTGAATGAGAGAAATCTAAGAGGCTGTAGTATATATGGTGGAAGCCATTCACACAGCATTACAGCTGCTGGATGGAGATAGAGGAGCATAGGAATTTCCTGTTCTCCTCAGTGCCATCTAGTGGCTGCAATGCCATGCAGACACTATTCGCCCAGCTGTACCCAGGAGAATCTGTATACACCAGCCCCTCAGATTTCTCTTGTTCAGCGTGGAATCTACCCGGCTCAGATGATTTTTGTTTCCTAGTAGGCAGATTTACTTTTTTTTGGTAGAAGAGATTTTGTATGTCTTCTCACTAGCAATATTTTTTTTACACACTGCCTATGGCACTCTGGGCAGCCATATGCATATTTGCACATTATGGTGAACTTTTTGTAGGCAAAACAGGAAGTGAGGGGAAATCTCTCAAATGGAGTCACAGACAGAAAAATAAGCCCAACGGAAAATATGACTCTTTCCAAAACAAAAAATATATATTTGATATATATTTTTATTTAAGATTTTAAATAATAAGTACATTATAATGTTGTTATTTTATATTGTTTGCTTCTTTTTAATAGAATGGTGTGCATCCAGCATCTTCACTCTCAGCATCTCATTCCAGCATCCAAGCAGCGCCTAGCAACGGCTTGTACCACTGCATGACGTCAGCGCCACGCCCACAGACTGCCAAAACCGCGCCCACTCTCCTGGACGACCGCGCCCACTTTCCTAGTCGTCCCCGCCCGCTGTGCAGCTGACGCGAGACGCACGTCCGGACGTGTGTTGTTATTTCACGACTTCAAGATGGCGTCTATCATAATAATGTTGTTATTTTATATTGTTTGCTTCTTTTTAATAGAATGGTGTGCATCCAGCATCTTCACTCTCAGCATCTCATTCCAGCATCCAAGCAGCGCCTAGCAACGGCTTGTACCACTGCATGACGTCAGCGCCACGCCCACAGACTGCCAAAACCGCGCCCACTCTCCTGGACGACCGCGCCCACTTTCCTAGTCGTCCCCGCCCGCTGTGCAGCTGACGCGAGACGCACGTCCGGACGTGTGTTGTTATTTCACGACTTCAAGATGGCGTCTATCATGGAGGGTCCGCTGAGTAAATGGACGAACGTAATGAAAGGTTGGCAGTATCGTTGGTTCGTGTTGGACTACAACGCCGGCCTTCTATCCTATTACACGGTGAGGACACGGCGCGGGCGGCATAGCTTTGCGCGCGCTCTTCTCGTTGTGAGGTGGCAATCCTTTGATAACAGTCGCGGAGTTGTCCGGTTCCAACCAATCAGAGAGCGGAGTTGACGAGGCAGTAGCCAATTAGTGCACGCCTCCTCAGTGCATTGGCCAACAAGCGTGAGGGCGGGCGCTAGCCAAAGTGTTCTGTGTCTGGCTGGCCGCACCCAGAGAATGGTGGGACACGCCCAGCTGTGACAGACTCGTGTAGAATGCATCCAGGTTAAGGTGAATGGCTCGCCCAGGAGGTCAGAGCCCTGTCTGTGTCACGTGACGAGGGAACCCTGGAGGCTGTTTGAATTGCATTGACAGATTTTTGGCCAGGGAGCCAAATGTACACGTTGTGCTTTCGATTGAAAACGACCTAACCATTAAAGTGTGTAAACCGGGTCACTTTAAGACTTAAAGTGTCTCTCCAGCTAACAATGATGAACCATCCTTTTGTAAGGTTGTTACAGTATATACTATACTGACCTGCTGACAGCAGTATGTAGCTCGTGTTCCTTCTTCATAGGCTTAGCTTAAAGAAATGACTTAATGATCCTGCCTTTCACCTGACTGTGTCCCTGTTTCCTTTGCTGGGGCGCCAATGATTTGCTATTATGGATGACATCGCACATATTTACTGAGAGATCATTTACAAAATGATTGTGGTGGCTTTAATGGGGAGGGGGACAAAGCTGTATGTGCAAAGTGGGCTGCATCCTGGAGGTCAGTTTTACAGCAAAAGTGTTCCTAATCCTTGCAGTGGGGCAGCAACAGCGGGAGAGCCTAGGAAGGGCAAGTATGGATTCACTGCAGAACTTGTTCAAGGCTGTCTTAAAGAAGAACTCCGGGCAAAAGTGTTCCTAACCCTTGCCGTGGAGCAACCCCAGCTCTGCAAGGGTTAACTGCTCATATTTGTCTAGGTACTAAAAAAAAAATATTGTCACCCGGTCCTTGGAGGCGACTGGCTGTTACTCCAGTCCCTGAAGCCTGTCTCCTCCTCCGCTGCAGCGCTGGTATGTCACTCTCAGGACCTTAGACCGTTGCAGAGGAGGGGGTAGAGATGCTCCAGGCACCAGTCTAAGAGAAAGCTGGCTCAGAGGATCGAGTGAGTGTAACTTTTTTTTCTTTTCTTTTAGCACCTTGAGAAAAACAAGCACTTAACCCTTGTAGTGCGGAGGTTGCCCCACTGCAAGGGTTAAGAACACTTTTGCCCGGAGTTCTGCTTAAAGACAGCCCTGAACAAGTCCTGCACTGAATGTATACTTGCCCTTTCCAGGCTCCCTTCTGCTGCAGCCCTGAAAAATGACACACAATAGAATGACAAAACTTGCTGAGGGCCCCGCACACTGTCCCTCTAATAATATAGTCCTGCGTGATAAGTGGCCATGTCACAGAGTACTGCACTGTGAGTAGTGTCACAAATGTTCCCTCATACCCTGAATTGTACTACAAATACCTCTCTCTCTTCCTCCCTTATAGGAGGGGGTGTTCTGTAGTTCATAGAAGAGAACTAGGCAGGGTGATAACATTGGTTAGATTTCAGTTCATTGCACGGGTTAGGTAGAGCCAGCGGGGTGACTAGTTTTCTGTCTGGTGGGACCTCATGTTCCTGAATGCTTGTAGTGGATGTGATGGTGTCTTCACTAAGGCTGGCCATACACTGATCCTGTTCTTCTCCTTCCCCATCCACGTTAAACATCATGAATGGCGGATCCCTCCACCTCATTTTATATAACTTTTTTATATCAGTTTTATATATCCGTTATAACTAGGGATGCACCGTTACCGTTTTTTTGGTATCGAGTACCGATACTTTGCTTTCGGTACTCGCCGATAGCGAGTACTGATACCAGTGCTTCCGCTGCCATGGAGTCGGCATCCCGGGCAATCTGATTGCCCGAGAAGCTGGCTCCATGTTGTCTGGCCTGTTTCAGCTTTGCCGGAAACCTGCTTCCCAGCTAATCAGCATCGAGCCGCCTTCCCGGCCAATCAGGAAGCCAGGCGTCAAGTAATGCCCTGCCTCTCAGCTTCCTGATTGGCCGAGAAGCCGGTTCCATGCTGATTGGCTGGAAAAGCCAGCTTCCCAGCCAATCAGAATGGAGCCGGCTGTTCGGCCGGCTCCACGCTGCTTGGCCAGGAAGCCGGCTTCCTGGCCAATCAGGAAGCCGGGAGGCAGGTCATTACTTGCCACCCAGCTTCCTGATTGCACGGGAAGCCGGCTCTATATTCCCCTATGGCACTGCCAGTCAGGGGAAATCTTCCAGGACCGGAAGTCCTGGAATCAGTGAAGGTATCGGAGCAAGTATGAGTACCCGCCCAAATACTCGGTATCGACACCGATACTAGTATCAGTGTATCCCTAGTTATAACTCTATCTCTGTGAAGAAGTTTTTTGACCAGCCTACTTCTACGTCCTCCTCCTTAATATTGGCTGGGGGGGCTGTCCATCATAGCATACAGGGGAAATAGTGAGGTGCTGCTGAGGGTGGGACGAAGTGGTACATTTTAGCCAAAGTTATTGTTTGCATAATAGGGCTCCCCCGGGTTTTGGGGGATCCCTGGTGCTATAGAAAGAAGCCGAGGGTAGGCACAAGGAGATTGCTGTATTTACATTGACGAGGTAGTTAAATACAAATACAAGTTTACATTGCAGAGTTTGAAATGAGTCAGTTTTGTGCTGTTCCTGCCTCCAATGTATTATTTATTGCATGCAGAAGTTTACTGTTGGGGAGCTCATGCTGGAAGGTGTCACAAGAATATCTAACATGGTAGAAGGTGTCACAAGACTATCTAACATGGTAGAAGGTGTCACAAGACTATCTAACATGGTGGAAGGTGTCACAAGAATATCTAACATGCTGGAAGGTGTCACAAGAATATCTAACATGGTAGAAGGTGTCACAAGACTATCTAACATGGTAGAAGGTGTCACAAGACTATCTAACATGCTGGAAGGTGTCACAAGAATATCTAACATGGTGGAATGTGTCACAAGAATATCTAACATGGTGGAAAGTGTCACAAGAATATCTAACATGCTGGAAGGTGTCACAAGAATATCTAACATGGTGGAATGTGTCACAAGAATATCTAACATGGTGGAAAGTGTCACAAGAATATCTAACATGCTGGAAGGTGTCACAAGAATATCTAACATGGTGATACAAGAGTATCTAACATGCTGGAAGGTGTCACAAGACTATCTAACATGGTGGAAGGTGTCAAAAGAATATCTAACATGGTGGAAGGTGTCACAAGACTATCTAACATGGTGGAAGGAAGGTGTCACAAGACTATCTAACATGGTGGAAGGTGTCACAAGACTATCTAACATGGTGGAAGGTGTCACAAGAATATCTAACAGGTGGAAGGTGTCACAAGACTATCTAACATGGTGGATTTGCAATGATGAAAGTCAGTCCTGGTTATTGCAGGAGTGTTCCATCAGATGACTGGAAGAAGGGAGACTGCAGTGTGTTATCTGGTTCTTTATGAAAATGAAATTGTGCCAGCAAATAACTTTCATATCTGTGTGGCTGAATCCGTTCCAGGAATCATTTCCCTTAAGCGTTCCATGTGATGCGTCATCCCAACCTTCATCATATGATTGTTACTTAATGGCCAGGAAATCCTTTCACTTTCCTGAGAATACTTGTTTGTTCAATGTGTGGACATTTTTATGCACAGTGGCAGAGTTTTTGGGCCTGGTCCCCGCCGGAGTCCTCATCTTGCATGGCTGTATCACCCGAATTTACTGCTACAATCCTGATGACTGGCTTTCCACAACATGTCCTCCTGTGCGTGTATATCATTGTGGTGGGCCCAGAAAAGCACTGTAGAATTTTGTTCTAAAGCCGACCATACATCAGTAGAGTCATGTTCAGGAAAAAAAATATGTTTGGAACGTTTGTTTGATCTTCTGATAGTTATTGGGGTCAAACTGCCGATCATTTTCAAAGAGCGTGATGAAAAAAGATGGAAGGAGCGGGATAGTAAATGTGCTTTTCATTTGAGAAACTCCATTCATTGTGAACGACATTCTAGAAGTCTCTGGTGGCATTATCGAATGATCTGACAAGATTTTTCGTATGAACATTCGTAAGAAAATCTACCAGTGTATGAGCAGCTTAAACCTCGTCCTAGTTATGTAAATAGGTGTAGCGACTGACTTTAACCTTACTGGGCTACTGAGTATGTTGCTGGCAGAGGGCCCCTCTAAACAGACCGCCAGGACTCTGTTAATCTGTGTAAATCTGACAGTCAGCTTTACACTGAAAGCCATTCTGGGGGCTGAGCTGCTGCTAGATTGCTTCCAGGGGGCAATGAAGATTCGATCCCCCTCCCCCTGACAGGACACCCCGCCTTGCTTCCCGGGCTCTGTTGCCCTTCCTGCGGGCCAGGCATCACAGGTGTCTGCGGGTAGAGGGGAGCGAGACCATTGAACATGCATTTATCAATCTCCTCCCTGCTGAATGGAACTGGAAGGTGAGGACATCGACAAATGGGCATATTATACACAATTAAGTCTCCACTGTCCAGATCTAACCAACAGTTTCATATAATGTCATCTTTATTATGAGATCTTGGCTTGTGATGCCTGACCTCAGACAAGTGAGTAATCGTCTGAGTAAGCATAATGGTGCTGGTCTCTGATCCAGCGCTGACTCCTGTGTCTTCCTGTCCAACAAAGTCTGTGTGCGTACACGCTGCCAATCTGTGTGCATTGACTCCTCTTCTCCCGGCTGAGGATCTGCACTGTGCATGTGGCCGCCCCATGATCCTTTGCGGCCGCTCGAGAATTTTTCAGATCTTTGGACAGGAGCGGCGGAGACACAGGTAAGTAACTACTTTTTTGGTGACTTTTTATCTTTTTGCATATATCTACTGCTTGCTCGGAGTAGATATATGCAATAAAAAGGGAAGGTTTCATTGTACTTTAAATACTCTGGTCCCTGTAGTGAACTGGCTGGATAGAGGGTGAACATCTAATGGGTATGAGTTATTTTCCGTAGGATTGTTCGCAACATGATCAGCTAATACTTTTCTTTTTTCTTTCTTTCTTTCAGTCAAAAGACAAAATGATGAGAGGGTCCCGGAGAGGCTGTGTCCGTCTCAGGGTAAGTATAGATTTTTAATAGGTAAATTTATTTATGCTGTAAATATAAATTATGCAACAACTTTTTTGAAGTGCCTGTATGTATGTATGTATGTATGTAATGTATGTATGTATGTGCTTTTATTACTGTGTATGAATGACCACTTTAGACTTGGAGGGGATTCAGGGTTTGATTAAACAAAAAAAAAAACCAGCTGTCACAGGTGGCCGAGCTCTCCGCACCGCCAGCTCAGCCTCATGTCACGGCGAGTCAGGATGGAGAGCGGAGTACAAGCGATTGCTGATTGTTTGTTTGTGTCCCCCAATTATGAATGAATAAGAAGTGCTCTACATCACCTCCTGTTCATTCATGATTGTGTACATAGTAACCAATACTATTCCCTCAATTTAACAATAAACAGAATCACTCAGTATAGAGGATTCCTGTTCATTCATAACAGGGGCTGCATAATAAGAGATTTAGGACTCTGTGTCTTCCATCTCTTTTTCTATTTTAAGAAAACTTCTATAATCTGCATTCTTGCCTGTGGCTGTGTACTAAAGCCTGTGACAGTCGGGCAGCTAGCATTGTCAGAAGGAGGTCAGCAGTGGCATCCTCCATGTTTTATTCTAGGATTCGTTTGCACCATTTATATCCAGAGACGGTATAACACCGGCTCCCTGTCATGTACTCTGTACTGAGCTGTTTTTAGAATCGGACCCAGAGGAATAACATAGTTGCTGACATGGGCATCTGATGTGTGGTGCGGTTAATTAATAGATAACCATTTTAGGTTTTTATGACTCTGTATCCAGTGTCGTGTGATCACAGGGCAAAGACCAAATGGCATATTTTCAGCGCAGTCATAAAACAGTCACTTTTATTTTGTTCTTATTACCTTTTATCATGTATAATAATAAACTATTTGGCTTTAGCAAGTGCATTTGGACTTTTGTGGCTTTGTTCGGGTTTGTTAGTTTTTAAATTGATGCATGTACAGTATATAGTGTAGAATATTCCTGTTAAAGTGTATTTCCACTTTTAAATTCAAATTTGAGAAAACCCCTCAATAGGTTTGGGTTCCCATTCATACAGCATACCTAAAAATATTTCTTACCTTTTTAGATCAGCCTTCTCAGCCAGGGAGAAATGTTGTGGTAGTGGGATGTGATGTGAAGGGGACTCCTGATGTAAACGGGGAACTCTGATGTGAAGGGGGGAAATCTTGATTTGAAGGAGGCACTTTGATGTGAAGCGGGAAACACAATATTTTGGGTGTTTTTGTCTAGGGCCCCCCTTAAAACCTATGACCCCTTAGACTGGGGTGCCTAAAGATGTTGCATACTTTTAAAGGGTGCTGTGAGAAACGCTACTTTAGATATTTGTTTAGCTGGCCTCTGAACAGACTGCAAGCATCTCTGTACATTTTCAAATTGACAGGAAACTGTCTGTCCCCATAGCTTCATAGAAAGGCAAGGTATGGACTGAGCTTGCTCTCTTTAACAAACAATACCTCTAGACCTTTGTTCGGACACAGTGTTCAGATATAGTTTACAGCTGATAATGAGATCTGCCAGCACATTAAAGACAGGGTTAATTATGGTAAAACTCCCCGGCCCCCTTTTCCCAGAGGAAAAACCAGTTTAGAGAAAAACGTTTCTTTCAGGACACGGCAAGTAATATGTTGGCAGCAATTTTTTATTTTTTGTTTAGTTATGCTATGTGAATGGAAACATGTAGCAAATATAAAATTAGTGTTTTCCCAATTTGGCTGCAAAAGTGGAAATACACGTTATTATTTTTTTAATGCACTAGTGCTGAGCTTTGGTGTTTTTTTAACAGGTCATTTCCCCCGGTGGCCTGTAGGTGGCAGCAGTGCCATTTCATGGTGAACTAGTGCTGCACTTTCCCATACCTGTCCAAGTCCCTTTTAGGCTAGGTTCTCACCTAGGCTATTGAGCTGGTGAGCTGTTTTCGTGCGGTTGTCACGCATTTCTGTTTGGGCGATTTCGCTTTGAAAACTGCACGATTGACAATGCATAGAGATGTCTATGGGACCCAAATCGCGCAACAACTGGCCGAAAATGGCTCCTGCACCCTTTGGCGCGACAGGCGATTTTTCTACCACTTGACAAATCGCAAAGGTGTGAACAGCTTCCATAGACTTTAATGTTTTGTGTGATATTGTGCTGCTAAATCAACATGATAAATTGCCTAGGTGTGACCCTAGCCTTAGCAGGTCATGTTTGGTGAATTTTTACGCAGGTAGCTAATCTGCACTTCTGATCTAATAATCGCATCACCTGTACATATCTGAGGTGACCTCCAGTAGATGCCATGTAAGCTGCACTTTGACTTGCTTTCTTTTTTTCTGCACGTAGTGCAATTTGTTGCCTAACCTGGGCTAGTAATAATACTGGTATTTACCTGTAGTACTGACCTTGCATAATGCGACATTCCGCAATTACATAGTTTTGAACCCCAATAGCAGCAGCAGGGTTTTATATGACCATTCAACATATGATAGCAAGTGTTTGTGCAAATAACATTACTTTGCAGTAGTCAGGGGCACCAGAAAATATTTGAAACTATGCATTCAGCATTTGATCCTTATCTATGTGTATAGGGTAGAAGAAAGAACAACTTGGGGGTTGATTTGTATGTGTTATGCCATTTTTAGATGTGCTTTGCCTAGAAACATCTATAGTGGCAATTCTACACTTACACTTAGGAAAAAAATCCAAGAACTCAGAATAGACTGTTTACAAAAGACTAACCTGGCCGATGTGACTCATTAGCTGTCGCTGTCAGCAACTCCTACTGACTCATAGCGGGTTTATACAATAGGTCAACAATGATGTCAGAGTGTCGTAATTCACAGCAGTCCCCCTGCCGTTTTCTGTAGGAAAATCACTGATAGCACCATTAGCATGAATAGTGTTTATTTTATAGGTCTATATGTTTAAAGCCTTTCCCCAGGTAAAAAAGACAAGGACACTTGCATTCTGACTACCCCCACACTGCAAGGTTTAACTGCTTGCCGTCCGCCCGTTGTAAAAAAAATGGACGGGCGGCAAGCTCCCATTGGTGGGTCGCCATAAATAAACAGCTTTTTTTTTTTCTGCTTGTGCGTGCCCCCAGGGCAGAATAGAACTGTCAAATGTAAACAGCTGGTAACGGCTGTTACACATGTACATTACACGTGCTGCCCTGTGCGCCCCCCCTCCTGCAGTGCTGCCCACCCTCCTCTTGCACCTCACCTTCAATTCTGGGCTCCGCTGCCCCCTCTGCGGCCCGGGACCGGCACGGGTGAATGTCAGGAGCAAGATGGGAGGGAGATCAGCATCTTCCTCGCTGATCTCCCTCCGAGGTCTGAATGCGGAAGTGATGTGTAATACATTACTTCCGCATTCAGCTGTCATTCCTCTGGCAGCTATAGCCAGAGAAGAAGCTGGTGAAGCAGATCTCCGCTTCATCAGCTTCTTTAGGGGGCCCCAGGTGGCAGGGGTCTTGGAGACCCCTAATGTCTCCATAAAGAGGACCTGTCAGTGTGCCTGTGCTATCGCATAGGTGGATTGTTAGCCCCCTATGTGATGGCAATAACATTAAGTGTAAAGAAAAAATAAAATAAAACTCACATAAAAAAAAAATGTAAAAAAACCCACTAAAATGTTTAAGTCCCCACCCCCATGTTTCCGCACATATTAAAGTAAATACGCGTCAGATGCACCAGTCAATTGCGCTACACATGTTACATATCGCCGCGAACGTCGGAGTTAGAGCAATAATTTTAGTGCCCTGAATCACTGATAACACCAAACTGATGAGCGGTAAAAGCTTTTAAAGCGTCGCCTGTGGCCAATTTTGGGTATTGTAGTTTTTTGAGATTTCGCAGGTGCGCGCAATTTTAAGGCTTGACATGTTTGGTGTCTATTTACCTGACGTAAAATTGTAGAAATGTCACCAGCACACCAGTCTTTTTAGGATAGCAAACGCTTCATTTGTTGAAGTTGACCAACAAGCGCTTTAGGGACCGCACAGGGTCCCTTCATCAGGCTTTAGCATTTAGTCACTGCAAGCACCCCCCACTACAAGGGACATATCGGTAAGGAGTGCGACAAGGACAGTACTTATTATTTACCTGACGTGACCCCGTCTTTTATATTTCACTAAAAAATTGGGTAATAATAAATGTTTTATAATTTAATATAGGGGAAAGTTTTTTTTTTTTTTTTTACATTTTACTTAAATTTTCCTTTACTATAGTAAAAAAAATAAAAAAAAACCCCAGTGGTGATTAAATACCCCCAAAAGAAAGCTCTATCTCCCCAAAAAATGGTGTAGAATTAATTTCAGTACAGCGTTGGATGACGGAATAAATGTCAGTCAAATTACTGCAGCGCTAAATACTGAAAAATGGCCGGGACAGGAAGGGGGTTTAAACACCCCGGTTAGCAAGGGATTAAAAATGTTATTAACCCTTACATTGGGGCTACCCCTGCACTGCGAGGGTTAAGTTCATGTTTTTGTCTAGGTGCTAAAAAAAAGTTATACTCACCAGGCCATCTGAGCCGTCTCCCTGCTTCTGTGATCACTGAAGCGTGTCTCCTCTTCCTCTGCACAGATGGACTGCTCCTTGGCGTCCTATATACAGCCCATGCAAAGTGTATAGAGCGTGATGAACCCAGGATCCTTAAACCGCTGCAGCAGAAGGGTAGAGACGCTGGTTTAGGAACAAACCAGCTCAGAATGTTCTCCTTTAGGTTCACTCCTGTGCTGATTGACAGCAGGCAGTGGGTGGGTGCAGTAGCCATTCTGCTATTGGCTACTGCAGTTTAAAATAGCCAATAGCAGCCTGGCTATTGCTGCCGGCCACTGGATGGGAGACCACCTGGCAGTTGATCTGAAGAGGGGGCATGGGGAATGCAGTCAGTCTCTCCTCCCTGCTGGGCGCCGGCTGCAGTGGTCTCTGTCCCTCCGTTCCCCACTGCCTCTGCTGATACAGGCGAGGAAAGCAGGGGGGATTGAAGGGGACACAGTGGGGAGGAGAACAGGAGGAGCAGAGCTGATGTGGAGGAGGTAGCGGTGGGGGACCTGGCTAACAAAAGCCCAGGACGCAATTTCTAGTTGCCATTTTGTCCTGGCACCTGGGATTTGTCGAGCTCTGATATTAATAAAGAGTAAAATGCATTCACAAAATTAGAGACAGGGGAAGCGGCAAGTGTAGACAGGAAGGTACATACAGCCTGTCCTAAAGTAAACGTCTCGCGCTCACCACCTGCAGGGGAAAACCACCGTCCGCAAGATGGATTACTCAGCATTAAGAGAAGTCAGAAGTAGAAGCAATCTATTCTTCCTCATGTCAGATCCTCCAGCAAAGAGAACAGAGAACAGCCCAGTAATTATATCACCAAATCTTCTGAGATTAGCAGTTAGAAGCAGCAGTGCCTGAGATCTCTCCTTGCAGATATATGCTATGAGGCTGTAGGCACAGGAAGGCCGAGGTACACTCGCATACCAGGAAGGGCAACAGCTCATTTTCAAGAGGAATTCCAGACAAATGGCACATTTCTCAGTGTACTGCATATGCACAAATAGCCTTTTTAGATGTTCCTTACAACATATCAAATCTTCACTTTTTTGTTTTTCAAATGTCTTTGCAAACCTAGTTATTACCTTTTTTGTATGTGTAGCAGTGACATCATCATTGTGCTGTACATCGCCTGTGCAGAGAGTAGAGCTGTCTTAGGGACCCAGAAGGCTCCACCCACTACAGGCTGCCTGCAAAACAGAAAGGCGGGGGCGGAGACCAGACCAGTCAACCTGCACAAGGAGAGAGAGCAACGTAACGCAACAAATCCGGTGTGAACATGCCCCATTCACACCCATTCAGTTTTCAGTGCCCTTCTGTTAGCAGCCAATGAAAAAAGTATCGCTACGCTACAGATTGTGGGGTAATCAGAAGGTACAATTGCAAGTTAATGGGCCCTTCGGTGACTTGCAATTTTCCTTCTGAATTTAGGTGTCCTCAACCGGGCCCTCCGTGTGTGTGTGTGTGTGTGTGTGTGTGTGTGTGTGTGTGTGTGTGTGTGTGTTACATACACACACTTTTTTTAACATGTTTGTTGGCTGCTGAATTTGAAATGATGAAGGACTATCTCCACCCTGAGGTCCACAGCTATGTACTATGTCAGCTACCTCCTGTTGTACAAGTCTTTAGAACATAAAAAAAACATACGATATTGAGTGCTTTTTCAGATTGCATCAAGTTGTATTTTAAGTTTTGAGGCTTTTTAACCTCTTGCCGTCCGCCCGTAGTAAAAAAACGGACGGACGGCACTGCAGCATCTGCGGGTTGCCGTCTCCAGACGGCAATTTTTTTCTGCTCGTGCGCACCCCCTAGCGGACTTAATAGCTGCTTACATGATCCTTCCCTTTTCTCCAGACCTGTGGAGCTGTGCCAGGAAGGTGGTCACGTTCCTGCCCTCTTCAATTTACTAAATGTGGAAGCTTGCAAGATGATTGCACATTCCTTCCTAGTGCGTGGTCCACCCTCCTGACTGCTCTGCTGCAGTGCTGTAGTAATACTGTATGTACTGCTGATGTCACTGCTACTCTTCTTAGCGCTCTGCTCTTTCTTCCACAGGGGGCTGTGATTGGTATTGATGATGAGGACGACAGCACCTTTACTATAACCGTCGATCAGAAAACCTTTCATTTTCAGGGTGAGCATTAATCTACCTCTTGTTTGTGTTGCTGTGTGTGCGTAGCTGTGCTCCCTGCCTTGCAGATTGCCGTTGCTCCTGCCTGCGTTGCTTGTCCGAAGCACTGTGGATATTTGTGCTGGGATGGGATAGCGTGTTGCTCTGCAGTGGGGTAGATACGTGCTAGTCATGGATAAGACCAGAAGATTGGAGACATTTCCTATTTCAACAGCTGACTCATGAAAGCAAACTCTGCATTGTGCAAAGCTTTCCTCATCCACTCTGCTTTTCACTTGATGAGGCTGCCCGAGGGAATGCCCGTGGAGTCTTTGTACAGGAATACATCCATAGGCAGGCTGTCTACATTCTAATCCATCTTCCTGCCGTGGCATTCCTAAGGTGGAGTTGTTCTCAGAGACTTCAAGTTTTCTCTTTTTTTTCTCTTCTGTCATCTGCATTTCTCTATCATCATTTCAATACTTTCCTAACCATTTCCGATCATAACTTCACAAATCAATGCCGTCTGTCACTGCTATGTTCCGGCATTGCATGCTGTGGCTCAACCGTAGAAAGGGTAAGGTGGAACTCTTTACGTGCTCGGCTCGCTATGTGCACAGAGTTCGCTGTGCAGTGGAAGTAATTGAACACAGATGTTGATTGTGAATCTGGTTCAGTTTCGTGTAGGACTGCTTCAGGCACGCAAGGGTGGGAAGTCGTGCAGGGCAAACTGGAACATGTGGTTTCTCTTGAGGAACTACAAGCTTCAGCATACTCTGCATGCAGGGACTTGACATTGCATCAGAGTGGGACGGGCCATATTGCGTATGGTTGTTGCATTGTTTATATACGGACTGATTGCTTCTACATCTTAAAGAAGAACTCCAGATGGATGAAAAAAATCACAGAGAGGAGAATTTACCAAAACTGGAGCAGCTGTGCATGGCAACCAATCAGCTTCTATCTTTCATTTTCAAATCTTAACTGAAGAGAGAAGCTGATTGGTTGCCATGCACAGCTGCTCCAGATTTTGTCTGCTCCAGTTTTGATAAATCCCCCTCTATGTATTTACTTATATAGTGTTAGGATGTAACTGCATGCAACCGCACAGCCACAAAATGCAACAAATTACTGGCCAGCAGCAGTGAATAGGCTTCTAATGAATACATTTTTGTAGAATGAGGGAGTGGCCTCTGTTTTATAGTGTCCAAAATCCACAGAAGCTGGACATCTTTCGGGTCAGGCTTTATACGATGCCATGCACACAGCATTTTAGAGCATCATTTATTTAATTCTAAAGCCATTGGAAAACACGGGTAAAGAGCAGTTTATTCGTATGTGGCTGGAGTTCTTCTTTAATTGCAGGTTTTGTTCATGATGCAGGATTGGGCCCCCCTTCTGGATTTTCAGAATGTCACTTTTGTTGGTTTTCTACCATTTGGATGTGTTTTATGTGAATGGATTCAGCACTGTTGCTTTGAACGTCCTGTGTGGCATTCTGCACCGGAGTCTGTAATCGCTGAATACAATTCCACTCTGTGCCAGCGATCGTGAAGCAGCATTGACTGACTGTATAAGATGGAGCTCCGAGTCAGACTTTCAATTACAGCTTCGTACAGTGCTACTGCCCAGTAATCGGGATCGGTTTACTTGTGTCTGCGTTCCTTACACTTTATCCTTCTGTCCTAATGTTGCTTGTGTTCTCTGCATGCTTTTAAATATTCAGAGAAATATATGAGAACTGAGGCTGATGCACTGTAAATGTATACTGCTAGTTAGACATAAAAGGAAGCCTGCCGACTATGTAACATTCTCAAACTCATGTTGAACTCCAGGCAAAACCCAAAACACACATTTTGAAATATCATATATTACAGGCCAAAGGATTTCTAATTCTGTTACACTGGTCTTGTGGTCCAGACAGTCCTGCCAGACAGCACAGCCACGTCCTGGACCTCTCTGCAGACTACACTGCAGCTAGGCACCACGTTCTTGTCCAAGACTTTAGAGGAAATGAAATGCTGAAATGATAATCACTCTGCTCTTTCCTGCTGTAAGCGTGTTCACAGACAGCGCTGTGCAAAGCAATACATCCAAGACTGTATCAGTGCTGACTATCCCTGGCTGAGTGCTGCTGTGCAGGGGTTTACTACGCGCTGATATCCGGATATATCCAGCTATTTATGTATACTTCATGATGCATGATGATTAATGCAGGCCTGGAGAAATCTCATCCTGAACTAGCAGCCGGCAATACGCAGCCTGCATATGACTTTATAGGTTGCTGATGGATGTATAGTTAAGCAACAGTTAAAAAGAAAAAATAATGAAGAACATTTTGTGAATTTATTTTAACAATTATTAATAGATAAGATGTATGCAGTATATACATAGTAATGCAGTAACACAGCATAGGGCAGTATAGAGTAGTACAGTGGGGCATGCAGTATAATATGTAGTAGGACAGTGCGGTATAGATATAATAGAGTAAGGCTGTACAGTTCTGTGTACAGAGAAATGCAGGGGGGCATATATACTGTATGAATCTCTCCCTCACTCGCATCCCTCACTCGCATCCCTCACTCGCATCCCTCACTCGCATCCCTCACTCGCATCCCTCACTCACGCTCCTATTGATGTCCACTTTGAGTTTCTGCATCCACTGGCTGAATGATATGTTCCCTTCCAGCCTGGCACAACGCCCTCCCTCATTTGTCAACGTGTCTGTCGGGAAAAACGTAGTGACCAGAGCCCTGCTTTCTTCCTCCTCCTACTGAAGCTGTTCATTTCCCCCCTCAGCTCCAACCCAATCCAGACATGCGGGCCCTCTCCCCGCCACACTGCAGAAATTGAGCCGCAGCACCCTGCCAACAACAGTGTCTGGCAAGCTCCAGCTGGAGAGAACAGTAGGTGTCCGGATTGGCTGGAGCTTGTGTCAGTTGGGAGGGGAATAGTCACGCCTCTTCCTGGTATGGAGTCCACCGATGTGTTGCCATGGCTGTAAACAAGTGGGTAGTCCCGGCAACCTGTGGCTGAGCCGCCATTACTGGCACCCACCTGACAGGTAGCACATCTGGGTTTTTCTGTTGTCATGGTAACCGGAAAGGGTCCAGCCCTGGATTTATAATTTTTATTTATATAGCGCCAACATTTTATGCAGCACTTCACATATTGAACATTCCCCTCAGCCCTAATCTAAGGTCCCTATCTCACATGCATACACGCACATACTAAACAGCCAGGTTATTATATTCTGACAGCCTGCACCCGCAGCTCTCAGAATACCTGAACAATGACTGCACCTGAATGGTGAGTGTAAAGCTGGCCATACACTCTACAAACTTCTCTTGCTAAGCCCACAGGGTCACCATTGGTTCCCCCATTCATCCTAAACAGTGTGGATGGGGGAATCCCTGCTTCCTGTTATTGTATGCAGCAGCGGCTGCTCCAGTGACTGGAATACCTGAAGAGCGCCTGAATGTTACTGGATGCCGGTGCTCATCACCCCGACAATTTTCGGCATGGTTCTTTTGACAAAAGTCAATTGAAAAATCTGACCAGTCGGCAGGACTCGGTCAAAATCTGAGCAGTGTATGGCCAGTTTTAGTATTGTATATGCTACTGGGCAATAATATAGGGCTGGACAAATCCCAGAAGGCAGGTAGTCAATGCTCCTAAAAAATGACAGCTGGCACATTACTTTTGAAGTTTTCTTTAGTTCTTGTCAGTGGAGCTGGTTCCTAAAACTTCTGCTGGCTCCCGAATTCCATAATAATTTGTCCACCCCTGCATAATATTATATTTGGTTCAACTGGTACTGACTTGTTTTTCACAGATAACTAGTACTGGTGGTTTAAAGTGACACTAAACTCTTATTTGTATATCACTCGGCGGCAGATCCTCAAATCAGCTCTGAATTGGTGCTGACACTGTCCTTCCTTCTGGAGGGGGCTACTTTTGTTCCCCATGGTCCCTGTTTCCCAGGTGTCGTGCGTTGTAGTGCAGATGTGAACCTAGCCTAATTGTAACTGTATTTTAGATTCTCTGCAGCTCTAAGAAGGTTCCTTTTCAGCTGTAGATAAACTTGTAAGTACTGTATGGTAAAAGAAGCTTCCCGGTTTCCTTTGTCCAGGCTTGGAAATGTCATGAGTGGCTCTGGAGAGGAGAGGAGAATCCAGCGGAATGTACAATATTAATGTAGTTTATCAGGGAGGATGACATGGAAGGGGAAGCTGTGGCTGATGTCAGTAAGCTGAGAAGTAAACAAACCGCCACTTAGCAGCATCAGACTACTAATGACTTTTATTGTGTATGAAATGGCCAGAGAAGAGTGTTTGGCAGAGCTGTCACATTTACTATGTTAAAATGGCCTTTTCTTTTCTTTTCTTTTCTTTTGGGGAAATGAGACTGTACCATCTAGCAAGGTCCCTGGGACTGGGCCTGTGAACTCCAGCCATGTGTCTGCAAACAATTTTGCACCAGTTGGTCTGATATTAGCTTGGGCTGCGGAGCTTGAATAACATGCCATTGGATGACACATCTCACTGGTTCTTTTATAGATTGGTTAAAAAAGTGTCATTATACATTGCAGGATTTGTATATCTTCCCTCACTGTTCAGATTAAGATACAGCGACTAAGATACAGCGACCTTCTATCTTATGATGTAAACTAAACTGCTTGTTTCTCATGGATCTGGGTTAATGTAATGAGGCTTCCAGTATGACGGAAGAGTCCTCATTCAGTGAAAGCAGTTTCATTACCCATAAGGGGCTTAGAGAGCCTAAACACAGCTTGAGCTGATATATATTCGTGCTTCGGGCATTTCCATGCTGTTGAGGATTATACATGCTACATGTAGCAAAATGTACGCTGATTTTTCTTCTATATAAAAAAAAAAATCAACGTTCGCTGTAAAATCTGTGATGTACGTAATTGTTACACAGGCCATCTTTTATTTTATTGTTCTTAAAATTACATTTTTATTTCTATATTCAATTATCTAAAATGGTAAAATTCACAATGTCCCTTCCTTGGAATATGGCAGCCCTGTCGTTTTGTACACCAAAGGACCCCAGCAATATAATTTCCTGCTTGTGTGATTTCTCACTGTTGCACTGTTTCTCAGGAGTCTATAAAAATCTCATTCGCATATAGACGGGTGCAAATGCTGCAGGTTTTCTCATCACAACACTGTGCTGAAGACTGATCCTCCCATTGATGTATCCTTTTGAGAAGGGACATAAAGGGCAGTTTGTTCCGAAGAGAAAGATCTAAATCTGCAAAATAACATTTATTAAAATCGCTATAATGATCACCAGGTTCCTGCTCACACCTTCGCGATTTTTATTGAATGTTGGCCATCGCTCAACAATGTATGACAAGAAAAAGCACATTATTTTCTATGCGGGCCCCTTCAGGCCTATGCGTTGCACTGCTGTGTGACTTGGAAAAGGGTGTAGGTGCTTTTGTTGGTGTATTTTTGGCACCAAATACTTGTTGAAGTTGTTGTGGTGCTTTTATGAGCATAACAAGCAACCATCCTCCTCCTCCTCCTCCTCCTCCTCCTGTCAACTTCAGTATTGCAACATAAGGAACAGCAGATATTGCTAGACATTGGCCAAAACAAAAACCACACGAAGCATGATAACTAATGTAGAACTCATTACAATGCATCAACAAATGCACAGCAAAGCATGTAAAAATGCACATAAACACGCTACAAAAATGGGCAAGAAAATGCATGAATATTCAGATGTACAGGGGTGTGCGGAGACTTGTGCTCAATTCACATCTATGCAATGCAGGAGTGTGTGAAGCTAAAATCGTATGTTGCAATGTTAGGTTATTTCTTAATGACATCCTAATGCACCTATCCATTGCGAATGCTTGTATCCCCCCACATCGTATGGTCACCTATTACCCTGTGATGTGGTACAATGCAGTTTAAAAAAAAAAAAGTGCATGCACTTCTTTCAGTGCGATTATAGCTGCGGTAGGTAGCCCATTCAAATAAATACGCTGCCTTATAACGCACCCTGCAGTACCTTTGTGATGTCGCATCATAGAGGTGTGAATGGGGGCTTAGAGGGGATTGTTTTTTCTCAGCTAAATTGGATTAAAGCTGAATTCCGGCCTCCCCTTAAAGCAATATTAAACCTTCTTTTTTTCTTTTAATAGTTGCTATTAGGACACCCACCTTTTGCCTGAGGATGTTGTTCTTTTTCTTTTAAAAGTTTTAAATTCCTCGTTTTCTAGTGGGTCCCCGCAGCGTTCTTACCGCCAACCCCCACCCTCTGCACGGGTGCCTCCATTGGCTAACAGAGGCACCCGTGCACGCACGGGGCTGTGTGCGTCCATAGACACGCACACGCCCCTTCTCTCTGCCCAACACTTTGATTGATTGCAGAAGCTTATGGCTCCTCTACCATCAGTATTCTCCCCCTGCAACCAGGAAGTACAGGGAACGGAGGATTACTTCGGGGACGAGAGTCGCTTACAGGTATGTGTGGCGGGGGTTGACTGGGGGAGAAAAAGGTACTGGGTGGTTTCTATCCTAATGCAGAGAATGCATTAAGGTAAAAAACGCCCAGATCTTAATACTACTATAATTCTGGCACCGTTATACTCGCTCCTCTCCTGTTATGACATCCCTCTGATTTTACTCATCTCATAGTGTTCATTAGAAGCTGCAGCAAGTCAAATAATGCCTGCCCCATTTCCTGGCTGGAAGACGTCCAGCATCATCAACCATCTTGACTGTCCCTAGCCCGTCTCTTCCATTCGTTGGATTTCAGTTCTTCCAATCATGGAGGCTCCGCATCACATGTGGGTGTTACCTAGGGACACCCACTCCTCCTTCCGACTGACATCCACCCATCAAGGTGTTTTGATATTTGAATAGCTCCCCCTCCTTGATAGGAGTACTGAGGGGGTATTGTGATGTTTTCAGGAAGCTATGTACAGCACCCTGCTGGCCCCTCTCAGCAACCATGATCTGTCTGCAGTGTATAGAGAAGCTCAGAGACCCAGTGATGACTTCACTGGTTCTAAAAACCTTTTCCTGTAACAAAAATGTAAAGGTTCTATTTGAACACTTAATTATCATGTTGAGGAGGGGGACAGGAGGAACCCAGGAAGGCAAAATAAACAGATTCAATCTGAGCTTTAACACCTTGATCTGGATGGCCCTGGATGACTTGATTCTGTCTGCAGTTTAGTGCAGAATTTGACGTTTTACAGTTCTGTAAAGCAAAACGGGCCCGTTTAAGCCTCAGCTATTCCCAAAGGTATTGTACACATGTTATAAATAAGCAGCAGATTTGTGGTTTTTCTTCTGTGAAGTTTTGCACTTTTAGGCCCCTTTCAGATGGGCGGTCTCATCAGCCCGCCTGTCAGTTTTTCAGGTGGACCCGATCGGATGCCCAATGAAAGTCTATGGGCAGTTGGATCTAAATAGATGGGTGTCCGTTTACATTCGGCTCCGGCCAGGCCCGGGAAAACAAATGGAACAGAGTTCCTGGATCGGGGGTAATCTGATGTAAACGGGCACATGTCCATTTGTATCCGATTCTCCATTGACTGACATGGGGTGCAGCAGTTTTAGTTCTTTCCTTCATTCGCAAGATGGAGATAAAAACTGGAAGGCCATAGATGTCAGATTGGGATTGGGCTTTGACCAGGAGGGGATCCGTGCATGGATCCCCTCCTGATCCGACAGTGTGAAAGGGCCCTTCATTTAAAAAAATGCTCAGGTGAAGAAATATGTGTTTTACATTTTAGAATCCTTTTTAAAAAAAAAAAAAATGTTTTAACAACTTTATCAATTATACTTGTATGTAGTTTGTTCTTCATTATGGGAATGGTCCGGATAACCTGTTTGTGCGTTTTGGGTTTTTATTTTTAGAGCTGTTTTTGCATGGAATCTTGTGCTGTTTTTTTGTTACTTGGTCTGGCCAGGGATGAGCTGTTGTCTCTCAGAGAACCCTGGCAAAAAAAACCTGTATGGTCAATGCTTCTTTCATCTTCCCAAGTTGGACCACGAGCATGCTCATTGGTGCACCTTTTAACCCCCCTCCTAGGAGTGTTCAATGGGGCAGGTAGCTGGGGGTTTGGTAGTCCAGTTTATGGCCAGCTTCTTTGTGTTTTGAAATCCTTGTGGGTTGTAGACTGTCCTATCTCCAGGCTGTGGCTTCACTGGGTTAAATATTTTAGATTACCTTCTGACTTGCACATTCCTTTTTTCCTTTTCGGTCTTCTGCTGCAGCCCGTGATGCGGATGAGAGAGAAAAGTGGATCCATGCGCTAGAAGAGACGATCTTGCGTCATACTCTCCAACTACAGGTAAGGGCATTTGAGTTCACATTTCAACTTCAATGAAACCTGTCAGGTTTATTAATGTTTGGTCACGGTGTTGTACGTGTCTTCAGACTCTTGTGTATCTACAACAGAAAGCTAGACTTCACCCACCAGGCAGTTTCCTATTTCTGATGTTTGCTTTGTAGTTTTTTATAAACGTAAAGCTAATTGTTGTGTGTGGTGTGGTTTGTTTGTTTTTTTGGTCCCTGTTATGTTGGCTAATCTGAGAGTTGTTGTAGTCCACGTCATACGGTTCTAACCTTTTGGCTTTACATCATCTCTTGATTCTGCTTTGGAAAAATTGGGCGACTGTTATGGTGTTTTTGACAAGTTCACTTAAGCATTTTAACTCTGCCCTTTTAATTGGTGTTTATTTGTAAAGCAAAGATAGCGCTGACCTGGAACATCCTGATATGAAGAAAGAGAGTAGAGAGATAACTTTTCAGTACTCTACTGCTCCTTTTCTGCTCCATCACAGGCTGGGGAGTTTGTTTGAAAGCTATTTATACACCAAGGGGGGAATTTATTAAAATCTGGAGCAGCTGTGCATGGCAACCAATCAGCTTCTCTCTTCAGTTTGTTGAGCTAAGCATTGAACATGAAAGAGAGAAGCTGATTGGTTGGTTGCCGTGCACAGCTGCTCCAGATTTTATCTGCTCCACTTTTGATAAATTCCCTTCCATGACTTTAGGAGAATAGCTTGGAGTCTCTTGTTGTTGTCTTAAAGAGAAATTTCCCATATCTTTGAAATGACAACAAAGGCACTTTAAGGCTAGGTTCACACCTAGGCGTTTGCAGTTTTTTGTGTGTGCGTTTTTGCGTTTACATTTGTGCGTTAATCCCTGCATTGACATAGAAAATAGCCCCTGCATCTTTTCACGTGATGGGCATTTTTCTACACATGATGCAACGCTAAAGTGTGAACAGTTGCCGTGGTTTTGCATGGAAATGTGTGCGTTTTGCGTGTTTTCCCGTGGAGCGCTCAGGTGAGAACCAAGCCTTAGAAATGTTTACTAATGGCAATCTACAAACCGATACTTATAAGAACTTATAATTATATAATTGCCTTTTTTTAATTCTTTGTATACCTTAGTTTTCTTTTCTTCCCTATTCTTCTGACGGTGCCCATTTTTCTAAGGGCAGGTGAATCCATCTCCCTTTACTTCCTGCAACTCTGACACATGTGAGTAGAACATGTGACCATGCACATCATCTCAGGGGAGGAAAATGCCTTTCTCTGAGATCTCGTGAGATTACAGATGAGATTTCCAGCAATGCATGTAACTTTCCCAGAGTGCAACGCTTTGGCACAGGCTGCACCACTAATGCCTGAGGAACAGGAAGTGGAAAAGCCGTAATTGCAAGTAAAAGAAAAGTATGTTTGTTTAACTGATGGAACAGTCTGCAGGATTCTGTGCATTGCACCCGTGATCCACTGATTGCGGTTGCAATGCTTTGCGGCTTCAATGCAAAAAATTTATAAATACATGTTTATTTCTTCTTGAGTTGCCAAATCTGCTCTAATAGAAAAGAAGCGCCTGTGTTGTGAAATTAATTGCTTCGTAATGCTTATAGCTACCGAGCTGAATGAGGGCCTGTTTAAGATCCCGTTCACACCTTTGCGATTTAATACGCATTTTCCAGTGTTCGTTAAAGCATGTTCCAAGCTTTGCCATTGTTTTCAGTGGGGTCTGTTTATAGCCGTTTGTTGCCTAAAATAGTGCAGGTTTGTGTTCTAATGCAGCAATATACGTTTTTGGTTCTATTGATTTCAATAGGTGCATATCAAAATGCATTTCATGTGTTGCAGCGCATTTTGGCACAAGACAAGAAGCCCCTTCCCCAGCAACCTCTATTTTAAATTGATTTGCAGAATGCGTGAAAATGTATTTTTAAAGCATGCGTCTACATGCGCAGAAAAAAATCATATAAAAAGGTGTGAATCCGACCTTAACGTGCTTTTACTGCTTGCTCAGAATATGTGAATACTTTAGTGTGTATGATGTTGGTGCAGGTTCACTTTAAGAATAGAAAACCTTAATAGGAAATGAACACCTTCTGCAAAAGACGTCATATAAATCGTATACAAGCAGAAGTGTGTATTTATAGGCATTCATTACAGTATGCAAAGCGGTATACAGTTTTGAGATGCGGTGACAGCTGTCAGTGCTGATTTTAGTATAGTTGTATTACCATGTAGTGCCTTCTGGTGTTTTATCCAAGAGTTTCGGCTTTTTCTGACTGCTGCAGGGTAAGTTCACTAAAGTTATGCTGGGTTTAGAATTGCCTGCAGGCACCTTCAAGCTCTGCAGCTACACGTCTGGATGATGGATGCTGCCCGTGATGTCATGCACAACTAATATTATTACACCTAAAACAATTGCTTACTTACGGAAGAGCCCTGGGGCCATGCTAAAAAAAATATGAAACCGAATTCTGTGTTTTAAATGTCAGAATTCTGAGATTAAAAGTTATAATTCTGACTTTTAATCTCAGAATTCTGTTTTTAAAATTTCTGACGTTTAAACACAGAATTCTGTTTCTTATTTTTTTAGCATGGCCCCAGGGCTCTTCCGTACTTACTAACATATGAAAATAGTTTTATTTATTCATCAGTTATATTGTAAGCCCAAAATTAAACACTTTGTTAACATAATGTTAATATCCTACCTGGTTCCTAAAGTACCCAGTGCTAACAAAAATAATAATATATAGTGATTCTGCAATTTCGGAAATACATCCAAATAAATCAGTAAAATCTCAAATACGATTAAACATAGTAAAGTCAAAAGTTATTTTTAAACGTGCAGCTTTCATAATACCTGGTTATCAATTGGCTATCATGTAGATCCCTGTTCAGACGCTTCCTGTATTAAGGTGACAAAAATTAAAGGCCATCTCTGGGGCAAACAAAAAAGGTACCCTTACATTGGGGCTACCTCTGCACTGCAAGGGTTAAGTGCTCACTTTTTTTTAGGGGCTGGAGTAAAGCAGATTTACTTACCTTGTGCCTGCTCCCTCATTGGTCACTGATTTTTTTCCCCCTGCCGCCTGGTGGCCTAAGGTTCTTAAAAACAGGAGATGGGCTTCAAAGTGACACTTAACTCCGGAGTTAAATCTTAAAAATGCATTCAAGTACCTTTTACCTATTGATGATACTCAACCTGATTTGTGTATCACTCGGCTGTAGATCCTCAAATCATCTCTGAATTGGTGCTGACACTGGAGGGTGGCTACTTTTGTTCCCCATGGTCCCTGTGTGTGTTGTAACGTAGTCACCGCTCCAAGCTCGCTCCCAATGGGCGGTCTCAGCAGCCCGCCTGTCAGTTTTTCAGGTGGACCCGATCGGATGCCCAATGAAAGTCTATGGGCAGTTGGATCTAAATAGATGGGTGTCCGTTTACATTCGGCTCCGGCCAGGCCCGGGAAAACAAATGGAACAGAGTTCCTGGATCGGGGGTAATCTGATGTAAACGGGCACATGTCCATTTGTATCCGATTCTCCATTGACTGACATGGGGTGCAGCAGTTTTAGTTCTTTCCTTCATTCGCAAGATGGAGATAAAAACTGGAAGGCCATAGATGTCAGATTGGGATTGGGCTTTGACCAGGAGGGGATCCGTGCATGGATCCCCTCCTGATCCGACAGTGTGAAAGGGCCCTTCATTTAAAAAAATGCTCAGGTGAAGAAATATGTGTTTTACATTTTAGAATCCTTTTTAAAAAAAAAAAAAATGTTTTAACAACTTTATCAATTATACTTGTATGTAGTTTGTTCTTCATTATGGGAATGGTCCGGATAACCTGTTTGTGCGTTTTGGGTTTTTATTTTTAGAGCTGTTTTTGCATGGAATCTTGTGCTGTTTTTTTGTTACTTGGTCTGGCCAGGGATGAGCTGTTGTCTCTCAGAGAACCCTGGCAAAAAAAACCTGTATGGTCAATGCTTCTTTCATCTTCCCAAGTTGGACCACGAGCATGCTCATTGGTGCACCTTTTAACCCCCCTCCTAGGAGTGTTCAATGGGGCAGGTAGCTGGGGGTTTGGTAGTCCAGTTTATGGCCAGCTTCTTTGTGTTTTGAAATCCTTGTGGGTTGTAGACTGTCCTATCTCCAGGCTGTGGCTTCACTGGGTTAAATATTTTAGATTACCTTCTGACTTGCACATTCCTTTTTTCCTTTTCGGTCTTCTGCTGCAGCCCGTGATGCGGATGAGAGAGAAAAGTGGATCCATGCGCTAGAAGAGACGATCTTGCGTCATACTCTCCAACTACAGGTAAGGGCATTTGAGTTCACATTTCAACTTCAATGAAACCTGTCAGGTTTATTAATGTTTGGTCACGGTGTTGTACGTGTCTTCAGACTCTTGTGTATCTACAACAGAAAGCTAGACTTCACCCACCAGGCAGTTTCCTATTTCTGATGTTTGCTTTGTAGTTTTTTATAAACGTAAAGCTAATTGTTGTGTGTGGTGTGGTTTGTTTGTTTTTTTGGTCCCTGTTATGTTGGCTAATCTGAGAGTTGTTGTAGTCCACGTCATACGGTTCTAACCTTTTGGCTTTACATCATCTCTTGATTCTGCTTTGGAAAAATTGGGCGACTGTTATGGTGTTTTTGACAAGTTCACTTAAGCATTTTAACTCTGCCCTTTTAATTGGTGTTTATTTGTAAAGCAAAGATAGCGCTGACCTGGAACATCCTGATATGAAGAAAGAGAGTAGAGAGATAACTTTTCAGTACTCTACTGCTCCTTTTCTGCTCCATCACAGGCTGGGGAGTTTGTTTGAAAGCTATTTATACACCAAGGGGGGAATTTATTAAAATCTGGAGCAGCTGTGCATGGCAACCAATCAGCTTCTCTCTTCAGTTTGTTGAGCTAAGCATTGAACATGAAAGAGAGAAGCTGATTGGTTGGTTGCCGTGCACAGCTGCTCCAGATTTTATCTGCTCCACTTTTGATAAATTCCCTTCCATGACTTTAGGAGAATA